ACAGTTATATCATACTCAACAAATAATCATAAGGAAACTTTCCCCAAAGCAAACAAAGTTGCTTAAATAATTGCACAATCCAAAATCCAACAAAACTTTTCTGTGAAATAATCACCAACACAAGGCTACACATTTCTTACGCTTTCACACGTAAAACCACATAACTCCTAGTTAACCTAAGCGTTCATAAACTGGTCCCAAAGTGGTACAAAAGCAACGAATGGTTATGTTCAGTTTCTAAGTTATTAAATCGAATATTTGAAAAACAGGTCCACCTTACCAGGCATATACTAAAGGGTTATCCATTTCGCGGTTTCGAAAATAAGCGTAAATAAAATGCATTGAAGCTAATTTTTTTAATGAAGTTCATTTTTTATTATAGAGTCTGAAACTCAAGCTCATCACTCAAATGATAGCCTCGCAAATTTTAGCAATCTTCGATCCGTTGAAGTAATTTTCGACCACAATGTAAGCATACAAAAGTCTACGCTCCGAATTGGCTGTCTCGCCGTTTTAGTTTGTAAAGAAGTAAGGTCCCATCACACCTCCGGTCCAAAAAGCGCCGATCACCGCTAGTTGTTCAAGCACCCATCGGGGTGTGTTCGCCGTTTTAATTTAGGTTGAAACGAGCAAAACGATAAGGCAAGCCTCATAATCAGTCAGTCTCATACGAACCATTTTCGTGAATGTCTGGGTTTTAACTAAGGGAAAACTTTTGAGGCCACTAAATGGATCACTTTCACCCCGCTGAAACTATAGCATATTTCTCTTTCAACTTTTAGAAAGTTAAACTGCTTCTTTAATTACTTCTTGTAAGAACTTTAAAATTATACGCTGATCGGAGGAAGAGTTCGGACGAAAATCGGTCAGTGGTTAGAAAAGTCCTAATTATATATGTATGTATGTATAGTCTTATACTTCTAGTATATGGAGCAAATGATTTCAATGCGTGGTGCATACAAATGAGAATACATATGGACATACATACCTATGTATATATTTTCTCCTGTACAATACCACTTGTCGCATGTGTGTTGGAGAGGGGTTTTGTTCATATCGAGGAAAATAATGTGAAAGCTTGACACTGCAACGCCTTCGCCATAAAAAATCATTGTATGTGGATTGGTGCAGCAGCAGACTGCATTGTGAGAGACATCTAGTCAGACGACAGCAGCAGCAGGAAACGACAATGGGGGAGGATACTTTCCGAACACACTTCCTCACTTCACTTTGACCCATAAAGGAAAGTTATGCAATAAAAATGCGAGTTGGTACTGGACCAAAATAAAAATGAAATTTATTGCGAGAAGTGACACATTTCAGTTGGTGTTTCAATGAGTCGAAACGCAAGCACATTTAATTTCTGCCAAAAATATTAACTACTGCGCGGTGGCCCAGTGCGTGAGACTATGCAGAAAGTCGTGGGCTCGATTCTTGGTCAGCACAACATCCCTCAGCATGAATCATCGCCTCTGAGTGTAATTCTGACATGAAGTGTAATAGAAAGCGGCCCACAAAGTCATGTTATTGTTGTTCAATATCCACATATTCTGTTGCAGCCGAAACATATTTCTATGAGCGAACTAAGAATTTTATGTCTTAAAATAAGCCCACAGAATCTCCGAGAAACTGCTCCACTACCAGTGATCTAATTTGCTTTTAGGAAGAAAACGCGAAAAGCTGTGAGCCGGCATAAACGGTCTCTAGCCAGGATTGGCGGCCAAGAGGATAGCGACATGCCAGACGATCCAAGAGTTTGGTTGGGAGATTCTTATGATTCTTATGGTAAAGAATTGGACTCAAAAAAAGCCGAATGTCCCAATTTTTCAATAGCGACGAGGGTTTCTCTGAGAGGCATAATGATATTAGCTCAAAGGGCAAAAAGTAATCGAGAAAAACGGTGTATATATATATATGACATAAATCATACAATTCTTGTTCTTCTAATCTAATTGGCCGTTAACGGTTTTTGCTAATAGAAAAAATTAAAAATACCATTTCAATTATGAACTGAAAAATGAAAGGTTCCAAACTTGCAACCCTAACAAAATTGGAAGTTTCAATTTCAGTGTCATTCTGAATGTTAAAGCTTTCACATACATATTTATGATGGCATAACGGTAATTTCACACCAAAATGATATTCTTTATTCAGGTTTAAATTTTAAATTTTATTTTTATTGTTCGAGTTCACAAAATACTTGAGGCATCTTACTTGTCAATGAAAAGAAAATATTTAATGAACACCAAAATTCTTGCTCGCTCAGCTACGGAGCTGTCGTCAAGGTCATGCCAACACTTAATATTCGTGCTAAAGAGTGAATAGTTTGCCAGTGAACTTACAAATAATGGCTACTAACTCACATACATACAAACACGTGCATATGAAGCTTTGTGGAGGGAAGTAAAATGAACGAATTAAAGCAGCAAACAAAAGGATACAAAGAGAGTACTTTCAGTGTTGGAATTCGGGTGTTATTGGGTCAATTGGCAGAGATTTGCAATTTTATAAGAACGATTCAGTGATTTAAAAGGACTGAAATTCGTTCATAATGTTATGGCGAGACTTAAAAAATGTCGTCTCTATGACGTTATGTGATTGCTAAGAGGCTTGATTTCGCACACAAAGCGACAATGGCCGGGTATTTGACTATGCACACACATCGACCAACGTTTATTGTGGAATTGATAGTTCGAACACGTTTTTGCTTTAATGAAAATTATTGGTTATTGCTACGTTGGCTTTGCAGCGCTAATGTGGGTACTTTTCTGTGGAATTGTGTAGGCATCGTAAATAAAGTTTTATTACAGTTTTAGAATTTCCTTTGACCATTTCTTGTAAGAATCATCCTTAAGTGTGAAACTGCTATAAAAGTGACGCATTATTTCGTATGATGGACAATTGTTAAAATAATTCTTAACCAGCTCCATGCCAAAAGACTAACGAACTGAATTGGTTAAAAAACTAGTTGCAACTTACGGAGGGTCGAGGCCTGGTTCGACCAACATCCAAAAGTTATAAGGAATTAGTTGAAAAAAAAAAAAATTAAATAAAGTTTTCTAATTGCGGACGCCCTCGGCAGGAAATGTGAAGCCCTCCGAGTTTATTTCTGACATAATGTAAGTGCTCCTAATAAATAACCATCAACCGTTCGCAGGCAGCTTATGTAATAAGTTTACAGTCGCTCCATTTGTTGGAAAAACATCAAGACGCATGCCACAAATTGGAGGAGGAATTCAGCCGGTTACATAGCGCCCATTAAGTATATATAAAGTACGAGGCATATCCAAAGAGTATTCACTAAATTTTTATATGATTTTAAAAATTTGTATCTAAGCAAAAAAATACATGGCACTTTAACACATTATATCATTAATCTAACTATTTGAAGGATTTTCAAGAGAAAATTAAAAAATCCTATAGTCTTGACCATAACCTCAAATAAAAAGCATCAAAGGTATCCATTTGTTTTTTATATTTAGGAAAGTATTCACTGCTAGTCTAATAGCCCATAAAATAGCAAGATAGACGTATTTAATTTTTATTCGCTTTATTTTACTTTATTTTTGAATATACATACATATATATACTACTGTAGGCAAAAAGTAAAGTGAATTTATTTGTAGAATTGAAAATCTTTATTTATTCTTCTAAATCAATTTCGTCGCTTTCGCAACTGCGGCTGAAATGCACTTATGCCAATGCTTTTTCCAATTGTCGAAGTATGTCAAATGGTCACCTTCTGGTACGACCCTCAGAGAGCGCGCCGATTCACGTTTAATCTCCTCAACCGACTCAAAACGGTGTCCTCGAAGTGGTCTCTTGAGTTTTTGGAAGAGCCAGTGGTCAAATGGTGCTAAGTACGGATAATACGGTAGTTGAGAAACAATAGTCGTGGAATTTTTAACGAAATGGCCATGAAGAATGAATGCTGTGTGCGACGGTACATTATCGTGATGCAAAAACCAAGAATTGTTGGCCCATAATTATGTTTTTTTTTTGCGAACTGCTTTACGAAAACGACGCAGAGCGCTTAAATAATATTCCTTATTTACCGTTTAATCGGGTGGAAGGAATTTATAATGCTCCACACCACGAAAATCGAAGAAAACAGTCAACGTGACCTAGATTTTTGAGCGACCTTGGCGCGATTTTTTCGGTCTTGCCTCACCTTTAGCACGATATTCGCTTGATTGGTCGGTGGTTTCAGGGTCGTAAGCATAGACATAGACATTAAAAAAATCGCCGAAGGCACTTTTAGTCGTTTAGTAAACACAAGCGTAACTAAAATATTTATTTAGATTTTCCGACTGGTTGAGTTTTCCTTATTTTGAAAGATACCCTCATCTTTATAATCACTTAGCAATATTCAGCTAAAATAAAAATAAAACCATTTGTCATCAGATTTCCTGCCATCGGACGCACTTTTACAATATCTTGAAGTTCTTACCACGATGGCCCACTCAGAACGCGCCACCATTACACGAACTTTTTAACCTCTTGTCCCAACAAAGGTGTCTCTTAGAAATGTGTTGTTCGACGACTCAGATTCAGAAATGTACTCTGGCAGATAAAACTATTTTCCTTGCGGGAATTTTCCAAATTTTCCAGCAAAAAGAAAATCGCCGTTGCTATGACGCATTGAAAATTTCCGTACTCAAATATTTTTCAATCAAAAAGCTATTATCTGTATTATTGAGTAATTATTGAACTTTTTGTAATTCGCGAACAAATTATGAAAGAAAAAAACGGAAATTAAAATGAGGAAATAGCCAACGCGCGCAAAAGATAAGAGATGGCCAACTTTTAGCGCTGTGTTGGCGTCAGCGGTGCTTATGAGGTGCAAAAGTCCTCCTTATCATCGGCTGTACGCTTTACGCATGAATTGAAAACTGAGTAAATTACACATTCTTATTAAAAAATTAAATATAAAATAAAAAATAATCAATGCCCAATTGACATCTAATTTATGTTTAATATCTCCCACAATTTCTTTACAGCCTAAAAGTGTCATGTCCACAATTCTACTTTGCGCATTTACACCGGAGTCATTATTTCCCACTCGAGCTAATGAGATTCTCACAAAACTGTCAGCATGATGTAGTAGTGCTGAGTGGCCGATAAATAACCATAAAATACGCCAATTTGGAGCGTTTCCAAACATCAGCAAAATAAAATCGCACGAATGATACTGTGATAGTGGTAATAAAATAGACTTTAGACTGCGTTTGCAACCAACAACAGCGGCAAAATGCAGTCGAAGCAAATGCAACAATTTGCACTCATTGCTTGCATATCACTGATATTTATGCTCAATTTGCTGCTGACGACAGCAGCGGCCAACGAAAATATACCATCAATTTATGAAAGTGAGGATTCGTCAATGGAATATAAAGAGCATGAGCATCATAGCCGACTGAATAAGAAACATCAGCACCGCCAAGAGCAACAGCGACGGCAGCAGCAGCGTCATCGACGACATGAGCTGCGTGAACGCGAGAAGCGTGAGGAGGAAATGGTGGGAGTGTATGACGTACCAGATGGGGATAATCAACATCGAATGCACCAAAAGCATACACATCACCATCACCAACAACAACATCATCAACAGCAACCGCATTCGCGTCAACACCGTCAGCATCGTGGCCACTCGCAAAATCCCGCTGTTGGTGGCCTTGCTGCGAGTTATCTTAGCGGTAGTAGCAGTTATCCTTCGTCATCAGCGTCCTCGTCCTCGACAACATTTTACAAGCGACACTCACGTGACTCATCAGCATTTCCGGGCCGTGAACGCAAGCCAAATATTATTCTAATACTCACAGATGACCAGGATGTCGAGTTGGGCTCGTTGAATTTTATGCCGCGCACGCTACGTTGGCTACGAGATGGCGGGGCTGAGTTTCGACACGCTTACACTACGACGCCTATGTGTTGCCCAGCGCGCTCTTCACTGCTGACTGGCATGTACGTGCACAATCACATGGTCTTTACAAACAATGACAACTGCTCGAGTCCGCAGTGGCAGGCTACGCACGAAACTCGCTCCTTTGCCACATATCTCTCGAATGCGGGCTATCGTACGGGATATTTTGGCAAGTACCTGAACAAATATAATGGATCGTATATACCACCGGGTTGGCGGGAATGGGGTGGCCTGATTATGAACTCGAAATATTATAATTATAGCATCAACATGAATGGGCAAAAGATCAAGCATGGATTTGAGTATGCGAAGGTAAGTTAATTTAGATATATGGACATGTATTTGGATTAGGTTTGGCTGGCTCCTGTTGAGTTAGAGTACAATCAAAATATAGGTCTACGGTCCTTAAGAAGCTCCGATTGTTATTAGAAAATCACAACTCTGTGTCTCCCTGTCTCCGATATTGTAATGTGCCCTAGAAGCAGATGTTTTTCGTTTTTACGGAAGAAAAGTTTCGGCACCCGGAGGTATCTGTTAGTGCGTTCCCAGAAATCGGAAAAACCGATTCCTCTCTGCTTTCACTTTCGAAACCCCATAGCATGATCGCTACTAAACGCAATATATTTGCAATTCTGCGGTCGGCAGCGGACTGTGAGTAGACGGTGCTGGTACACTCTTCATCTAATAGTCTGCATTGGTCTGATGTGAGTACGTTTGTATGCTCACAGTTACCAATTTAATCCATCTTTTGCAGTCTCTCATTTCCTAACTTTTTTTGAATCTTTCCTATTTTCCTTGTTTCAGGATTACTATCCAGATCTGATTGCGAACGATTCAATAGCTTTTCTGCGTTCATCAAAACAACAAAACCAAAGAAAACCTATTATGTTAACAATGAGTTTCCCGGCGCCTCATGGACCTGAAGACTCAGCACCACAATATAGTCATCTTTTCTTTAATGTAACAACACATCAGTAAGTAAATTTTTCTTACCCTACTAATCTTGTAAAGTAGGCAGTTAACGGTAACAAAACCACATTATCCCAATAGCACACCTTCTTACGATCACGCGCCCAACCCCGATAAGCAGTGGATATTGCGCGTCACACAATCCATGGAACCGGTACACAAACGTTTCACAAATTTACTAATGACAAAGCGGCTACAGACCCTGCAGAGTGTAGACGTCGCCGTAGAGCGAGTGTGTAATGAGCTTAAAGCTTTAGGTGAACTAGACAATACTTATATCATTTATACCTCCGATCACGGCTATCACCTGGGACAGTTCGGTTTGATAAAGGGTAAAAGTTTTCCATTTGAGTTCGATGTACGTGTGCCATTCCTGATACGTGGACCGGGTATACAACCGGCACGTGTGTGAGTATTTAAGCACAAAAAAATTTTGAGTTGCACCCTTTATTTACTATACGCTTTACAAATAGAGTGGATGAGGTCGTTTTGAATGTTGACTTGGCACCCACGTTCTTGGATATCGGTGGTGTTACAACGCCACAGCATATGGACGGACGCAGTATTTTGCCGCTGTTATTTAGTAGACAGCGAAATGTTCGGGATCAGTGGCCAGATACGTTCTTGATAGAGAGCTCAGGACGTCGTGAGACTCCTGAACAAATAGCTGAATCTCGTTTACGTCTGCAGGCGGATCGGTTAAATATGAGGCTTGCCAACAGCACCTTTATTAACGAATCGCCATTTAATGAGAGCATAGCAAGCGGACCCAAAATAGACGCCATCGATTTGGAATCACGTGAGGAGCCGGATTTCGAAGAGAGTGTAGGCTCGGAGGCCGATATAGGTAAATCGAAATATAACTCTTTATAAATCTAAATTTATTCATTCATTTATGTATTGTATGCACAGAGGGGAGATTTGAGACTGATATAGAAGATGACGTCGAGGACGATCTGGACACGGACAATGAAGAAGACGTTTCTTCATTTGTAGTAGATGAGGATATTGAAGATGATGTGGAAGTGAATGAAGCGCAAGAAGGAGACCTGGCACAAGAACAACAGGATCAGTTCGACAATAATCTACCCATGGCACCGTATATGACGAAAATGATGCGTTTGAATTCAGAATGCTCCGATCCAACCTTGCTGGAAAATTGTCGACCCGGCCAAAAATGGAAATGTGTCAATGAAGATGGTCGTTGGCGGAAGCACAAGTGCAAATTCCATGTGAGTTTCCAACGGAACAGCCATACTATAATTAGAAAAATGTTAATTAATTTTGGTGAGTGTTTTTGTGTATGAACTGATTTGACAAACTTTAGTTGCAGCTTCAACATCATCTGGAAGAGATATCGAAATACCCTAAAAAGGATACCAAACGCAATTGCGCTTGTTTCACACCAGACGGCGTTGTTTATACGAAAATAAAAACAAATCGCAATTACTTCGAGGGCGACCGAATTCGAAAGAGGTAAATTTCATGTGTTTAATTAAAGCATTTGAAGAAAAAAACGAGTAAATATTTTAAGGACTTAAGTACTAAGCTTCCGCCAAGAATTATATTTTCTTCTGCCTCCTTCAACAGAAATCAAAATCCATCACGGGTTTCGCATCGAAATAAGCGTTCATTAGATATTCATTCGGTTTCAAGTGAAGTTTTCCACACAGAACTGCCCTACGAGATGGAAGAACTACTCGATTTGCAAGATACACTAAGTCTAGTGGAAGAACACTTGACTCAGCCAAAACGCAGTAAACGAGAATTAACGTCCAGCTTCTTCGAAATTACCACCCCTACTCCCACTGACCTGTATGCGGGCGAAAGTAGAAAATCAGCAAACGACTCATCAAATGATGCCATCTCCAAGGTTATACAAGAAATACAAAGCACACTCGAAACACTTGAATTAAAGTTTGTTGCCCCAAATGACTCACGTCAACCTAATTCCACGACCACATTGTCAGCAGCCGGCTTCGTACGCAGCGGCAAGTTTCCTAAGGTGGGTGGACGTGTTGGCACACGCTGTTACATTGAATCGCAGACAGGCAGAGTAAACTGCTCCGATGTTATTTATGATGATGAAAAGACGTGGCGCAAGTCGCGCAATCAAATTGATATGCTAATCAAAGTGCTCAAGGATAAAATAATTCATTTGAAGGATATTAAAAAGCAGATGCGAGAGAATAAACAACAGCAACAGCAGCAACAACAGCACCATCTACACTACAACTCTGGTCGATATTGGGATAGGGATTACGTGCCCCGCACTGGTGGAAATGGGAATAGGAATAAGGCAGACGAGCGTGGAAATGGCGAAGAGCTGCCCTACAACATATCAGATTACTTGGGGCGCAGACAGAAAGGGCGCCGCCGTAATGGCGGTGGTGGAGGAGGTGTTCACAATAACAATCCCTATCAACGTGGTGGCTATAATCACCACACATATCAGCGACAACATTTACCTGGTATTGGTGGTGGCCGACGCCGTTTCGACAAACCGTTGGGCGGGCGCGACTTTGATTTAAATTATTTCGCGCAGGAGCATTTCGGTGTTACAAACACGTACAGTAATGATATTAACAATGATAATGGGAGTGGTGCTGGCGGTGGCTCTGGGTCTGGTCGTTTTGGCGGTAAGAACTCTTATGGCAGAAATCGTTTACGGGAGCATAATAGCAGCCAAGGTACTGTGTCGACACAAATGCAGAGACGCAGGCGGCCACAGGCGGTAACTGCAACACCACCACAAAAGTCGGACACATTGACAACAACATCTTTTACTTCGCCAGCAACAACAGTGAGAGTTGTGAACGGCATAAGAACTACAGCGAGCAACTCAGTTACAACCACAATTAAAAGTAGTGCACCGGTTGAGAATACTGCATCTACGACAGCAACAAATACAACAGCTACCACAGCAACCTACTTTCATTGGTCAACAACAAAATCACCGCCAAATATCAGCCTCGCAATTAGCAATAGTGAAGGTAAAAAGGATATGCAGCACGTTGACTCACTTTCTCATGCCAAATATTTCTCAATTCCAGCTACATTGGAGGATAGTCAGCCCACCGAAAGGACCAAATTGCCGCTCAGCAGTCTTGGTGAAAAGGAAATTTTCAACAACTTGGGCAATACACATAGCAGTGACCCATTTCAACAACAAAAGGGCCAGCCTGCAGAATGTTATTGTGAACCGGATACTGAGAGGTACAGAGACCATAATTCAATTATATATGAACTTTGTAGTAAACAAATATTCCGTTTTAGTTATGCGGACTCAAAGGAAATTGCACGCGAAGCCCGACGCAAGTTGAAAGAGGAGCGTCAGCGCAAGAAGGAGCGAAAACGAATTAAGAAAGCGCGTCTGGAGAAGGAATGTCTGTCGGAGAAGATGAACTGTTTCTCACACGACAACACACACTGGCGGACGGCACCACTTTGGAACGACAGCCCTTTTTGCTTTTGTATGAATGCCAACAACAACACATACTCATGCATACGCACCATAAATGCAACACACAATTATTTATACTGCGAATTTACAACGGGCCTAATAACATTCTACAATTTGAAAACTGGTAAGCAAATACCCCTAAAGTAAAGATATCTAAAAATTATTAAGCTGCTGTTAAACCCAGCAAGCAATTGAATATCGAAAAAAATCGAAACTCATGAAACTTTCTGGACATTTATTTTAATTCAAAACAATTTTCGAAAATGCTCAGAAAATTTGCCAGAACTTTCAAAATGAAAACTGCTAGTGCTGGACAATAGGTAATTTAATTCCAGATTGTATTTTGCAAGTAAAATAGTGCCGTGCAGACTGTAATTAGTTTCGGGATGGCCACAGGGCGACATTTAAATTCTTTTACAGCGAAATGGGTTGAACGAAGTAATATCTGCACCTTTAATCTTGAATAGGGTCTCCCAAAATTAACGCAAAATTTGAATGTATTAATGATTCAATGAAAAATAGCAATCTGAAACCAAGACGCTGAGTTTTCGTTCAATTCAAATCTTGCGTTAATTTTGGAACACCCTATATATACAATATGTGCCATGCATTTCTTAAAAAGGGAATGTTATCCAAATTCTTATTATTGTGCTCTAGATCCATTCGAAACACAAAATCGCGCATCGACCTTAACGAGCGAGGAAAAGTCGTACATGCATGACACATTGGAAAAACTCAAAGGCTGTCGCGGCAAAAGCTGCACCATTAAACGTAACTTGCAACCACATCATCAACAACAAAACCAAAGTGCATTACGTCCACTTCAAAGAGGCTATAAAAGAAAACAAGGTAAGCTCTTTTCCTATATGCATTTTTCTTATGAATGAATGATGTGAAGAGGATTCCAAACAACTTTGTGGCTGTTCAGTTCTTGGCAATAAGTTACACTAAAATACAATTTCAACATTTTGAAAAATTTATTCCGAAAACTTTAGAACTTTTTTCGAAAAAAAAAAATTCGGTAAAAATCGATTTCTTTTTATAATCTCTCTGGATCAACAAAATGTGTTGAAAACTGAAGCAAAAAACACTAAAACGGAAACAACAAAAAAATGTATTTTTTGTAAGAAAGCGATTAAAAAAATGAGATTCACAATTGTACCATGATCACAGTACCGTTAAAAATTCATTTATGAAATAGTTTTTAAAATGACGCCTCTGAGCGGCTGATGGACTTTTATGAATATCCTTTATTTCATGTCCAAGATGAGCTGAGGGTCCACAGACTCTGCCGATAGGCGATAACTGCCATTCGGAATTCTCGGGTTCAAATCCTGGTGTCGTACTAACATCCAAAAACTTATAGAAAATTAATTAATGTCAACCCTTCCGAGTGTATTCCTGACATGAAATAAAGCTCCATATAAAAAAACCATCAGCCGTTCGGAGGCGGCTTAGTATAAACTGTAGGCCCCTCCATTTGTTGGAAAAACATCAAGACGCAGAACCACAAATTGGCCGAAAATCGCTTGAGCGAATACAAAGCGCCAATTATATATATATATATATATATATATTCGTGAAGACGCACACCACAAATTAGAAAAGAACCCCCATCGGAAATAGCATATCATCTTCTTGGGTAAGCACGGATCTACAATACTTGTCCTTCCGGGTTTAGCCCTAAGCCGTACAGAAATATTTCAGGGCACCATGATCCATCCATCCATCCATCTGTTGTCTTACTTGAAGAAACTTATTTTGAATAAATCGGTAAATTATCATTAAGTAACAATTGTCTTCATTAGCTATTAACTATGAAGTACGTCTCCTTTTTAACAGCAGACTCTGATTTTAAATCAGGGTCTGATCAACTTATTCTCAATGCTCTTATCAATCATCTAACTAATTGAAATCAAACATATTTTAGGCATTGCGCAGAGCACCTCGGCCGTTAGCTCATTTGTCTCTAGTCGCATAGACTACGATGAGCCGCTGGCGAAACGAAGGAAACTCTCCAAGTAAGTACCATAACTCCAGGGCAATAAAATATCGTGAGAAAATTAAATCAAATTGAATTAACTGCGATAACAGGTGGTCAACGCATACAAATTTGAAACGTAAACCATGGAAGCAGCAACATCACTATCACCATCCACAGCAACAGCAACTCAGACAAGAACATTTGCAGCAACATGGCAACTATGGTGATGGTGAGGGTCACACTGTGAGACGTAATCGCTTTCATCAAGAAATAAGTGGTCAACACGACCAATATCAAAAACATCAACAACAGCATAGGAACAAACAAGAAGAAGAAGAAGAACATTATTTACCAAGTAACCGCAGCCAAAGTGACGACTTTGAACCAAAAATCATTACAAATGAGACAGTTACTACGCGGGAAAGCACAGATGTAGGGGAGGACCAAACTTTTACAGCCGTTACAGATGCAACAGCGGCAAAAATGGCGACATCGAAAAGACCGGCAACAAATGACACAACTACACCAACAAACACTCTCACATCAGCAATATAAATTTAAAAAGTACATGTATGTATGTACGTAAACCTGCCCTTTGCATATCTCCAACAATTCATACAAGTGGATTATAAAATATGAGACATCGCTCAAAAGTGAATGAAGCTATCATTTACCGTTATTTTAGCAAATTTTCAACATTTACATTGATCTTTGCCACTTTGCTTTCGGTTGTTGTAGCATTTATCGCACATATGCACATACATATGTCATATGTACTTTTTTTTAATTATTTGCTTACGCTCGCTAAAATATAATATTAACTAGCAAACATCACTTCCAAATTGGGCTCAAAAAGAGAATCATAGCGTCGCGTCAATATCAGAGTGGAAAATATTATTTTTTTATCTAACTTTTAGAGAACTTGAATTTTTGTTATTTTTTAAACATTAGACTCTTTTCGAATTTACCATATTACGGTACTTTCTCTACCTTTTCCAACTCAAAATTCAAGTTGACAGGAGCATAGGAAATGAGTCAGCTTTGTGTCTGAACTTGGGTAAAAATGCGTATTTTAGAGCTCTGTACAAATTCTGAGCGAGCAGAACAGGTCCAAGAAGATGCTAATGTAATGTTTCAATACAAATGTCTGAGTTTTGTAATTACGAGTACTTGTTAAACCCTGAGGACCAGTGAATTATTGTATTTTATGTTTTATTGATTAAGTAAAGAATGTGTAACTTTATACTGACAAATTTATTTAATTTAAAAATATATAAGAATCCAACACATACATACATATGTATATGTGAATAAGACTCGTAAATGCGGAAAATACTAGTGATGGTGACAAATATAAGTTTGTATATGTAATTGTAAGTAAATGCGTAACTTTTAGTTTTTGTTTTGAATGAGACTGTTTTTATAGATTAACATTATGATTAAGAGAAAATTGCCACTAACCTGTTAAATTTATTGTAATGAATGTATGGTTCGAAATTCATCTGATAGACTAACTTATACATATGTACGTGTATATGTATGTATGTAGGCTTGAAAATATAGCTAATTATAGTAATTAATAATAGAAAGCTTGGCGGCAGTCGGCAAGTCGTTAGCATTAAAACCGAATATGTATCTGCAAACTAATTTAAATATTAATAATAAAAATTACCAAAAAGGGAAATAATTACCAGAAATAAGTCAAAAAGCTAGGTAAAGCAAAAAACTCAAATTAATAACATGCTTGCTTAGCAATTTACTGTGAAAAAATGAACAATTGAATCTGAAAAATATTACAACAAATCAATAAGTTACAACTATAATCTGTATAAAATTATTACATATACATATGTACATACATATTTGTTTAAGCTTGTATTACTTTTAATTTTAATTTTTTAAATTATTCATATTTTATCATGTATTATTAATTCATAATAGATAAATAAATACAATATTTAATAATTTATAAAATCGCAGTTTAATACAATTCAAACACAAATTAATTAATTAAAAATAGTAATAGTAAACTTCGATAATAAATTGAACATTCTTCTTCATCTTTCTCCACTACTTTCATTTAAAACGCCTAACTGCTAATTTTATGTATAGACACATTTTTCTTATAGATGTGCCAGCTCAGCCATGGCTATCACTTTATTTTATCATTTATACTATAGGCTGCACCGTAGCTACGAATTTCACGTAATCCAAAGATTTCCGGCGACTCAGCGAGAATGTTATCGTTAAAACAGTTATCAAAATAAATAAATATTTAGTTTTTACCCGAAACGAAATGCTGTCGTTAATGTTAAGCCGTTAACAGATAATGTTAAGTGTTGAAATTGTGGTGTGCTGTTAATTCATAGCAGGCAGCCATTTTGATATTAACGGTTTCAACAATAAGAATTTCATTTCGTTTCGATAACATCGCACAGAATCGAAATAAAATCATTTCGTTAAGTTTTTTTTTATATTAACCAAACGAAATGCCATCGTTTCTTTAGTTGAGCGTCTCTAATTTATACTCATAATGAATACTAGTAGCTTCAATTCTTTTTTTAATATCATCGCTTCACATTTTTCATTAAGTCAATTGTATTATTTATAACGCTGCCAATATATAATAAAATAATAATTGGAATTGTACACCCAACTACATTTAAATAAATGGTCTACCATAAAACATCAATTGGATTTAATTAAGAGCGAATAATAATTATAAACTATATGATATAATTATGAAATATATGTAGCAAAATATTTATAGTAAATAAAACTATTAAATATGCTTTATGCAAAGAATAAAAAAATGTAAATTCAATAAATCATGGAAGAAAATGTGTAGAGTATTATTTTATTGTGAATTGAATAGGTGTGTACTTTGGTTGCCTCCTTAAGCGTATACACACATATATACCAAAAATCTTAATTTACGAGGTTTTCTGATACATTCTGCTCAAAACTATTGAATCGTCAACTGTGAATTGTATGATTAATTCATGCGGACTTTGAGAACCTTTAAAAATTGAATATCTACGAAAAAAGTATTTTTACTCTTCCACTTTAAGTGGATTTCAACTGAATCCGATATAGTGATTAATTTTTAATTATTATATTTTCTTGAAGTTACTACAGCGTATTTACCATTGCTAAAGTTAAATTTGAGCGAAAAGGCGTGAATATCATTATAGAATCAGATATTTTTTGACACATAGACTTTTTTAGACCAATTTTGATTAATAGCTTTGTTCCAAATACATAATTTTAATTTATTTTATTTAATATTTTTTATAATAATAAAAAATTTAGAATGCAATGAACAAAAAAATAAAAAAAACTAATTTATAAAATTTTATTTTATGTGATGTTGTGGCCTAGTTGTTAGCGGTTCTTTTAAATATTACTATTTTTTTTTTTAATTTTTTAACTAAATAATAGCAAAACACCATATGGAAAAAACATAATGAATAATTTGATTTTCATTGAATTTCTATTATATTCCTATTGGTTTTACTTCAGTTGTCGTCAATAACAGTTTTTCTTTATGTTAAACCAGAGAACTTGAAATAACAATTTCAAGTTCTCTGTTAAACTACCAATCCTGTTAGTTTGTTGCAGTTTGAAAAGCTTAAAGTATCATACAAATCAATCCAACAAATATTGCAATCAAACATGGTGGATGCGAAGCTGCAACAAAAAGTTGCAAAAACAAAATTGTAAACAATCTGAGAATTTAGCTGTTATAAATTCTCGGAGCAATCTAAAACTTAACATGTTTCCGCTCTCTACAAATGTGCATGTACGTAAGTATGTTACAAACATGGTTTGCATATATTTTTAACATTATCAATATTATTTTGTATGCATTAAGATAAACTAGCCAGTTAAAATGTGATTATCAAAAAATGAGCATTGGACTACTCCACAAACCTCCGAGCGTCATTTACATATTTAATTCTCGTTTCAAACATTGCTTGTCCTAACGGGGGATCATTCCTTTTAGAGAGCAAATTGAGCAGTTCTTTAAGCTCTATTTGACCTTCCAAACCGGGAAAACGGGGGGGAATAAATAATTGATAATAGTGGGGTTCTGACAAGAGCAGATTTTTGAAAATAGGACTCCCGGTAAAAAACGTCTCATATTTTTGAAATTTTATATACAAAATTTTGTTTACTTAAAAATTTGCACATATGTATGTATGTATGTACAATAGATTGTTTTGATTAAGATTAGCAAGAGCACTTTTTCTCCCGGAAGTGCATCGATCTATTTGGGATTTGTTTGGTTAAATTTTTAGATAATGTAGATAAATTGTTTCCCGGATATGGGCCAGGGACCAAAAAACGAACCACCGGGAGGTTGACAAAAATTAGTATTGTTCCCACATAAGCATAAATCGTGCTTAGGTATGTTCGCAGGCATAATAAAAAGCTTAATATTATATTTTGTATTCGATGATGCTTCTTAAGATTTTTTTATCACTACTACAATACCAATTGATATAAAAAGAATAAATGTAACAGTAGAGTAAAAATGAATACCAAGCACATTTACCTATTGAGACAAGACAAGAATGGTCAGCAATAGTGCACTTGAAGAGTTAGAAATCACAGAATGGCGAATGCATGGATAACGAAAGAGTAGTGAATGTATTATAAATGAAACTGAAACAAGCAAACTATAGCAATTCCAAAGAACTTAATTCAATAATAAAAGGATTTCGAATGTGTTTAATTTAATATCAGTAATGTAGTTTACTATGACTTATTTAGTAAATTTTTATTTATTACAAGAATCAAATGGGTATTAAGGCGGAGAATACACGTATGATGTCCCTTACTCTTTGGTGCGCTGGCTGGTGAGTTACAAGCACAAGAAAACTAGTTTTTCTCTTGCCTTTACTAACTCATTACACAGCTCAGCATAACAGAGAGAATCACAGATTGTTTGCTCGCGCACTCTCTGCATTTAAGTAATGTGCCAATGAGTAAAATTTTACATTTCCTTTTGGAACGCATTGGCAACGAACGTGCTGCTGTAATATTTTTTTATAATTTTAAATAAAATTGTTTAAATATTGAATAAAAGTTTACATTGCTTCACCATCGAATACTGTGTCCATTTTAATAACATTTATAATTATCGATTTTTCCGAAAGTGAAAATTTATGATTTGGTGCGTTTTTGTGTCACTAGTTGGTCTCATCAACACTAATTTTGTCTTGCAAGTTATATAAGAAAGTGCAAGAAGTTTGTTTAGAATGGACATTCAAAGAGAAATCAGTTAAAAAAAATGTCCACACAGTGCCGCAGTGGCTGCTTATTTGCTTTTTTTTTGTGTAAAGTGAAATACATACAATGCCAACAGTACTTTCTCCAAGAGAATTCGTGCTTACCACTTAGTGTTGTGTAGTGGCAATTTATTTCTTTCACACATTTATCAACTGTATTCCTCTTGTTTACCTACATATATACTCGTATTGTATTGTACATACATATGTACGTACAAATATAAATTTTGCATTATAGTTATTTTCATCAATTAACATGTTGAACTGAAAACTAGATATTGTACATTTATGCCTCGCCTTTATAAATTACTGTCATCTACGAGTATATTATATGTACATATGTACATCAACGAATATTTATAAGGGCATTTACATAAATAGTTGTTACAGCGCATCAACATCGTGATCACCACTTAAGTGCACGCGGCTATCTAGCCCTTACCGACATTAAATTTACAGCAAGTGGGTTAAATTTATTTCCATTTTCGCAGTCGAGGAGGAGAAGCCATGGTGGCGCGTGATAACAAGGAAGATTCGAGCGCACAAGCTTACTTGGATCACTTACTGCAGAATGGAGCACAGGAAGGTGATAGCGGTGAACCAATGGAACTGCCACCGTGGTACGATGAGACCTTATTCAGAAAGTAAGTGCAAAGGCACAAAAATACCGCAAGTGTGCTCATTTTGTATGTTAATTAAATTAATTTATTTAAAAACGCTAAGCTCATGAAGAAAACTTTACACTTTCTTTCATGAAAATTGTGTTTTTAGCGCGAATAGTAATATAAAATTTATTGTGAATTTTCATTTGATAATGGGGCAAAAGTTATAAAAACATTAGCCTCACGTTTTTGAAGCTTACAAAAAAAAAAAAAAAAAATATAACCGATATTAGTGTTCAAATATTTGTGCATTTGTTGGTGTTGGTTGTTGTATACTGTGTCTGAATTATTAATGCAACAAAAGCTCGAAATCGTTGTGTAAACGAAATATGCATGAGAAAACTAGTTGCTATGTATGGGTATTCAATGTGGAAACGTATTAACGGTGGCCGCAATAGCCGAGTGGTTGGCATTGCGTATGCCATTCTGAAGACCGTGGTTCGAGTCCTGGTTCGACTAACACCCGCAATTGTAGGCAGGGAAAGTCAAGTGTATATCTGGCATAAAGTAAAGGCTCCTCGTAAAAAAAACCTTCAGCCGTGCGGGGGCGGAATAAATAAGAAAAAACTGTGAATTTGTTGCATAAACATCAAAACGCATACCACAAATTCGAGGAGGAGCTCGGCCGAAAGTTTATTCAGCGGTTGCAAAGCGCGTTAAAATTGCGATTTCGCTGCAAGTTTCCTTCACGCTTAAGCGGTTTTTCAAATAAGTTAGTTCTCATATTGTAGGGCAATGTATGAATAATAGATTTAAACGTTCGTGTAATAAAACTTTAGCTCGCACTTGAGCACCAGCACATTTTTACATAAATCATCGGCGCAATTAATATGTCAGTTTTTAATATATAATTAAAAAAAAACGGGATCGTAATAGTGACACTTAAATTTCATTGTAAATTTCTCGTATCTCACTTGTTCTGATTGCAACCAAATTAACGCGAAACTACTGGAACGATTTTTATGACATTTTATATGCATTCCGGATGTATAAGATTCGGCTAACATCTATTTTACGCGCCTAGAAGATGGATCTGAAACTGCCCTATTGGAAAAAATGTATTGGGTTCGAGGGTAGTACTTTGCTCAAATTAACAGGAAGAGTGGTTTTGTTTCGATAAAATTTTATTTATGGTTAGACACAATAGAATATGTAAAAATTTTAAAATGATTTCGGTAGAGGCCAGAGACCATGTATAGAATGTGGCTCAGGTTTTTTTTACAATTATACCTATTTCGGGAAGCCAACCAGGGACCTAGTTACACGAAAAAATCTAATTTATGATTCGATTCAATTGAAATTTAATTTATTGGTAGCTTAGCGTTTCGATTAACATGCAGAGACTGGCTCTTAAGAATCTTATTTGTGATTCGATTTGCTAGAAGTTATTTTCTTCTCAATTAGTTGATCGGATCGGTCTATTAGGAATAATCGTATTTATGGCTCAGCCAGCTTGAACTTTTCCTTCTGGACTTTTTTGTGGGGCTAAGCGACAGACCGATTTTATGCGGATAAACATTTAGCTCTTGAGCACTTGAAAACCAAAATTCGTTAAATTGTGGCTGAGATCAAATATAATGTCGAGGTTCAACTTTATGTTAAAACAGGACCTTCAAACGCATTTTATATACGTTTATTTTCGAAACCGCAAAAGGATTTTCGTATTGGTTAACTATGTTAAAGTAAGAGAAAACCGTTGAATATTTTGATTTGTTTTTCGTCTCAATTTGCTTGATACGTTAATATGTTTTTCTTATCTTTCAGGGGACAGTCGTACATGAAAAAGTATCGATTTATCATCGTGGCAGGCATGTTTTATGGTCTCGTGGCCGTCTTAGCAATTCCATCCATACTGCGCGTATTAATTTGTACACGCCAGTCGTCCACTTGCCTCACTGCGTTCCGACGTTATGTGCGCACTACATTGCACACCAACGCTTGGTACGATTATCCGCCGACTCCGAACTCGAAGTTTTGGATTAGCTTGCGTGCAGTACGAAAAGCGCATTCGAAATCTAGTCGCGCATGTAGCAAACTTGGTGCTGGACGAATCACCCAAAAGGATTTGGCATTAACACAGTTTGGTTTCATTGGCTACGCCACTTTAGGTGCACCTCGTGCGCAGCTCTATGATGAGGAGTTTTTGGAAAGCACATCGCATATGTATCGTGTAATCGGCTATTTACTCGGCATTAAAGACGAATATAATTTGTGTGGTAAGAATTGGAAGGAGACGAAGCAGCGTCTGGATATTGTAATGCGTCAAGTCTATGAGCCTGCGTTAGAGAATACCAGTGAGGACTTTGAACAAATGGTAAAAGCTTTGGTGGAGGGCATGTGGCACTTGAATTCCACACTAACCGTTGGATCGGTAATGTATTTTACAAAGCGACTTAACTATGTGAAGGGATATGAATACTACGACTTTGATAATCGTCCGGGTAGTACAATTGATCCGAAACAGAAGCTTTACTATTACGATTTGGGTTGGTATGACCGTTTTCTCGTTACCTATGGTCTCTTCATAGTCACATACTTGCACAAATACGCCATTGTTCGTTGGTATCTCAACATGCGTATCTGGCTGAACGATGTTATTTTTTATTACTTACCGTACCTTGCGATCTGGAGCTTTGGTATTAAAAATTCGTATGTGCGTATCTTCAAAAAGGACGGTGGTGAAAATGATTTTGATTTTCACCTGAAGGAAGACTGAAGAGAGCTTCGGGCAGATTTTTATGAGTTTGCAATATGTGCGATTGCGATCAAATGTGGAAAATTACAAATGAATTTATTTACAAAGGACAATAACGAAGATCGATTTATGTACATAAGGGAATAACAAGAGCTGAAAATAAATAACAGTTCTAATATGGTTTATAAATTTAAATTAAGCTAAGTAATAGTGCACAAACCCTTTCCTTTTTACCCATCAAAAATATATTTTGATAAGAAATGCAAATCAAATCGGTTTTCTTACTTTTATTTAACACATTTCAAGCTGGCAATTCTATTTAAAAAGACAAATTTAAGGCGCCGTATACGATGTCGTGCCATATCCCAAGGACAGCATTTGCTGGTCAATCCAATCTCGCGCTGTCGCTACACTCGCATATGCTGCTGGTATATCATCATTACAGCCAATACCCCACGCCACGATACCATCTTGTTCATAACGATTCTCTGCTGGCAAGCCAATGGGACACACTAAGGGTGAGCCGCCATCACCTTGGCATGTGTCCACACCACGTACTCCGCCGGCACAAAGAAATGAACGATCTAAGGCGAATTTCTGACCTAAACGTGTACCGCGTAAGCGTGCCTGACAACTACCAAAGTCAACAATGGGTAATGGTACACGTTTCATGATCGCACTGAAACGTCCAGCCTCACCGAAAACATCTTTGCCCCATCCGGTGGCGAAACATTGGGCGCCGGCAAGTGGTGCAGCATTTTGGCGAGCCAAACAAGCAACATTGATGTGGTCGGCCAAGACAAACGGTTGACTAAGAACAACTAATGCGAAATTGTTAGCGACGTTACGTGAATTAAAATTGGGATGCGTTATAACACGTTGTACACTGCGCTCCTGATATGGCAGACGCTCTTTTGTGGTTTGAGAGTCCCACTCGCCTGCACGTACGATGAAGCCTGAATCGATACGATCAATGACGCAGTGAACGGCAGTCAGCACCACTTGTGGATGAATTAGGGAGCCACCACAGAAATAACTATAATTGCTGCTATGCAATAAGGCCACCATCCACGGAAATTCACCAAAACCCGCCTCGTTGTCCACGGCTCCAGTTATGTTGAAGTCAATTGCCCCTCGTATTCCACAACCTTGTGGACGTTCTGGTGATTTTGGCGTCAGACTAATGTCTCTCTGCTTTTGTGCTCCACAGCATACATCAAGGAAATGTTCACACACGGGATCGTCATCACTGAAGCGAAGGTCGATCAAGCCGAAACCATCAAATTCGCCATCTTCAACTGGTTGTGTTTGAGAATCGGTAGATGGATCACACATATGGTAAGGTACACAGTTGCATGGAGCTTTACCAGAGGTCGAGTTAAATTGTATGTTCGGTTGTGTGTTGTCAATTGGTTCGGGTGTAACAATTTTGCCGAATCCCGAACCAGTACTTTGCATTGGGGCACTCGGGTTTTGGGAGAAAATAGTCTTTATGGTTTGGTCTAAATCCGGATTTGATTGCGCACCTTGCTGCTGTGGCATGGCATAAGTATACAGCAATATCGCTGCAATCATATGGAGAAAAAGTGTTGCTCGAAACATTCCTGCCAAAAAATAGAAGAACTTATGTAAACAAATAAAAAAATTCAGTATAAGAATAAGGAACATAGATTACATAGTACTATATACATATGTATATACAAATAAGCATTGACACCGAAAATCATCGAGATCGGAGTACTACTACTATTAGTTTTCCAGATATTAGGCTTAATAAAAATAAATCCATTATTTTTGCATAAAATTTAATGATTTCTCTCCTCATATACAGCCTTATTCAAATGGTTCCCAACGGTTTTTTTTTTAGTAAACTTTAGCTATTGGACAAACGAAACAGTGTTTACATGACGATCGGACTCCACAATGTCCATGATTTTATCGAAATTTTCGACAACCGACCTTACACTCCGTGAAGCATCTTTATCCGAATCCGAAATTGATTGACTGTAACCCGCCTGGCTTGCGTTTTCGAAATTATCGAAGAATAACTGTAAAACATGGCGTATTTTCTCTTTGCTAGCGTTCATCTCTGAAACCCGCTCTAACCAAACTGAACCAACCAATCACAAAACTGTGAAAAAAACTTGTTTAGTACGAAATATGTATCATCTTTCTAACGCCATCTAGCGTAACCCGATCGGGCTTAAATTTATAACGCCAGATTCAGATGAATTACATCATTTATTGGAAAAATAATGGATTTATTTTTACTACACCAATATGAGAATTAATATTTGAATATAAAATTAAATGCAATAGATTTGCTTTGGTTATGAAAGGCTTAGAAAGACTTCTACACTACCAGCTCTTATTTCTTGCTTATACATATACAGTTATTTCATACACAAGAGTTTATTGAAATGAGCAAAGTAGATTTTATAATTTTTTTTTTGCTTAAAATTAATGAGATTTATAAAAAAAGAGAACCGGTAGCCAATTAATAGGTGAATATGTATGTACATATATAATTTTTTGTTTTGGAAAAATGACAATAAGAAACGGTGCCCGCGTGACAATTCTCCGATCTTATTGCTATATGTACATATATATATTAATTAGTTTCAATACGTGAACTCAGCAATCTTAACCACAAGAAGAAGTGCAGAGAAATGTATTTATGCTCGAACTAACCCAAGAATATTTATATATATGTATATGTACACAATTTATGTAAGTCTATATAACGCAAATGATGAGCCGAATTATTTTTGTCCATCTCACAACGAAAAAAACCGACCCAAAATTCGCCACAATGCATAGATGTTCCATATGCTGCAACAAATACAAGTGGTGTGAGTGTCTTAAAAAAAGAACATTCACAACAATTCTATGTTTTATTAACTAATTTTTTTTTTGATATGGATTATCAGTAATGTATGCTTGTGAGCTACATATGTATAAGTGTATGTTGACCTAATTTCGTTTGAAATGTGCATAATCCCAAAAATATACATATATAAATTCTAAAAGAAAACACAAGTACCGCTTGGCAAGTAGAAACATTTTTTTGTATTCCTCGTAGTGCCAAAATATTGGTTTTAAGATAAAGAAATCAAATGTATAGAAAAACCCGCAAAAATCCCAGTCTCAAGAAAAAACCCGAAAAATAATGTATTAACATACATACGTCTGTATGTATGAGGATCATCTTTTATGATCACATTCAAGCTTATGTGTGTTTGTGTGTAATTAATACACGTTATCTGAGTCATGAATGGACGAAATTCACATATAAACAAGTACAGTGTGCCCCCGGTGCATTAACCTTTAATACATGCAAATTCTCCATTAAATCACTTCAGCCATTGTTAGTGTAATTACAACTTTTTTTTTGTTTTCCAGTACCACAAACAAGTAAATTTTAATTTTTTGGATTCTTTTAACTTTCCCTGGTTTTATATGAAGGTTAAATAATTGAGCTAGGCAAAAATCGGACGTGCCGATTCCACAAGCCACATCAAACTTTAAAATCCTAGTTGGCGAACTGCATACATTATACAATGCCAACGAGTCTGGTACATATTTTAAGGCATCCGCCGGACACAGCTTTTGTTATTGATAACACATTTCTGACCAATAAACACTCTGTAGGTGTTAAAAGATGAGCCGGTTGGTATAAATCCGCCTCTAAACTTGAAGAGAGCTTGGCTCTAACAACTCTAGCCACTTTCAACTTCTTCTCTTCCAAACTTATCATTTTTATATATATGCTATGTACGCTTTATTGTAATTATAAACATACATATTTATACATATATGCGTATGTATCTATAAAACATTTGCAGTATAGATTCTACCCAGCAGTAAATGATGAGGTGAACAGTTAAAGTGGAAAGTGTGACTAAACACGGCGATTCAATAGCAACAGTGTGTTTTCCTTTCCTTCTTGCGATCTTACTGATACGCTAGTTCGCTTATTGCATTTATTATTTATACTAAGTTGCAGCAATATTGCATATATCATCGTTTCATATTTTAATGTTGCCGTTCCCAATTCAATATAAAAATTTTATTTTATTACCAAAAATTGTTACATAAAATATTTATTGTATGATCAAAGCAAAACTAGCGGTAAGCTAGTAAAAAAATCGTAATAATGTTGCGAGTTAAGCGTCACCAAAAATCTGCTGCAACATGTTTTTGCCTCGGTTTTGTGTGTTGTGCAACAAAAAGTTTGCCCGAGGAGTTTTTTGCTTATTTGTTTTTATTTTTTATTGAATGAGCTCGTGGTTGCTTTCGCTTTTTGAGAATCGAACTGCATTACCTGTCACTTCCAAAAGTAATGCCCTATCAAATTTGCAGCAGGGTACATCCAAGAGTCTTTATGCATGAGAGCGACGTCATCCCATGGGGGGTTTTTCTAATTTAACTGTTAGAAGTTTACTTACAACAATCAATCGTCGTGCGGTGTTTTGAAGATAGCCTCGAAGAATTGATTGAACTCACGACATTGATAACGAAATTCACAAATATTTATTCACACTTCAACCAAATTCACGTTGAGTGTCTATGTATGTGCAAATCAGAGGCATTAAATGTGAAAAAAAATGAATTGGCTTAATGTTTTCCTTGCAGACCTTTTTTATATACCTTTTAAGATTTTTTTCAGAGATTTTTTTAGAAATTAATTAATTTGAAGACCAACCAAAACACTCAGATAATAACTATGTATGTATGTATTGGATACTATTTAGATTTATGCATACCTGTATTATTTCTTATAAACAAGCTGTATTAGCTCAATACGTATGTATATTTCAATTACAATTCTATGGCACGGCACACTCCACGATTCAGCGACTCAAATCAAACTGAATTCATTCCTTTGCGTGTGTTTCGGTAGTTAAAAAATCAGTGTCTCAGCAATCTATCTCAAATAAATACTTTGTTACATTGAAACATACAAATTTACACACACACTTAATTTAATCTCACAACCAGGCTACATACAGCTTATATTTTCTTCCTCAATCAGCTCTGATGAGTAAAGTTTAAAAACGTGTTTTGCGAACTTGAATTTTTATATACATACATACATACATATATACATATATACCAAATACATTAAGTACGGGAAGCAATCACTTTTAAAATTTTTGTCTGCGGCAAAAGGACTTGACCACCGTCTTAAGTTTTGGATTTTAACCATGACTTATGTATAGCATGCTTCAAAGCTTATTTAATTAAAAATTGGAAAGTGCACTTTTTAATTTTATCTCTACGTGTCTGCATAACTTAATAACGAATGATCGAAATTAAATAAATATATAACGTACTGCAGTGCGGAGGATTATGGGTTCGTATCCTTGTCATTCAAAAGTTGGAAAAAAATACTATTTTTTTCTTATTGGTGGACCCCTCGCAATTTAAAAATAAATATATACCTTGATAAAACATTGAGATTGTGTAAGCCAGAAATCAGGCAACCAGGAATAATAATTATTCTTAGTGGACATTTTCTTAAAATATTCCTATTATAACTAACTCTAAACTAAGAATATTATATACGTACAAAACGCCACATATATATTTCAATATATTTATATATATATTAACAAATAATTTTGCTTAAATAAAACTTCATTAAACTCATGCCAATTTTTTTATACAACTACATATAAACTTCATATAAGAGATAATTTATTTTTAACAGAATACAACTCTGTGTGACATTTAACGTACGATCTCTGCCTAACACAACACTCATAACTGACAAACCGATATAGTGAAATTCGTGCCGCTGTTTACAATATCGTCAAAATAAATATTTGCGGCATTTCTTGGTTTGCTTCAAGAAATTATAGATTTTTTGCCTTTCAAGGAGCGAAAAGTAATTCGATTTCGCAATGTTTTACCACGTAAGTGAATTAGAAATTTCTCAAAATATATAGTAAAGCAGCGGCCCGTTGTTTAGATCTCTCTTGAACACGAAATTCTACTACATCCGCGCTATTTTGGACCGCAGTTACTGGAAACTGTGAAGCAGAAACTTTACACAGAAGTAGAAGGAACTTGCACTGGAAAATATGGGTTTGTGATAGCTGTAACCACAATCGATCAAATCGGCTCTGGTGTCATTCAACCAGGCCAAGGCTTCGTGGTGTACCCTGTGAAATATAAGGCAATAGTTTTCCGCCCTTTCAAGGGCGAAGTACTGGATGCAGTTGTAAAACAAATAAATAAAGTAAGCATTACTAAAGTAAATTAATAGATATCCTAAAACATTTTTTCGTAGGTTGGAATGTTTGCAGAAATCGGCCCACTGTCTTGCTTTATTTCACATCATGTAAGATCAATATCAATTTAGTACGTAATTGAGTTACAGCTCATCCTTAAATTTTTCTAGTCCATTCCAGCGGATATGCAATTTTGTCCAAATGGTAACCCACCGTGTTATAAGTCAAAAGATGAGGATGTGGTGATTTCCGGTGAAGATAAAATACGTTTAAAAATTGTTGGTACACGTGTTGATGCTACTGGTATTGTAAGTAAAAAGTGTCTTCTCAGTGATAAAAGGGAACACCAGGCTAATTCTGTTTCATTTCCAGTTCGCAATTGGTACACTAATGGACGATTACTTAGGTTTGGTGTGTAGTTAATTTTACATTAATCTCCGTCCTCTGGTGGAGCTACTAAACTTAAAAATCGGACCCTTCTTTAATTATATTAGATTATACAAAATAAATTTTTATATTTATACGCAAAATACAAGTAAAACGAGTTGAGTTTAAACACAAACTGTGTAATATGCTTTTATAATGTAAGGTACAACAAACATATATTTAAAAAATAATTCTTATACAATTCGTATTCCGCAAAATATTTACATACATACATTCGTTGAAAGCAATTTGAAAATACTTAAGTTACATATAGCTTTCCAAAGGGCAAGGATTTATATATTTAGTTAAGGAAGCGATTAATTGATATACTGAAGTCAATACTTGCTACATATTTAAATATATAAAATACATATTGTAAGCATAAAACGTACATACATATATGAATTAGGAATCAAGATTCACATACATAGGTGCGTACATTTATGTGCATAATTGAATATTTTATAAGTACAGTATATTTAATTAAAATGGAATGTGTGCTTTTAGTTCTTTCTTAATATGTAGGGTTTGCTGAATTTTTTTTATGTTTCTGAATAATAGCCGTTCGCCCAAAGGCATAAATTTTTAGATGCTTTTGTTTCGAGAAATATAAAATCATGCAAGACTTGCACCTCAAAGGTGGGTCTTTCGGGGACCTTGACGGAATTTCAAATAAAAAAAAATCTTAAAACTAATCATTACCCCAGAATATTAGGGCTTGCTGCCTACTCTTAAAAAGTAACAATAAAATACTAAACAAATGCATTGGTCGCTTATATCTCTATATGACTCACAAGTCCCATGAGAATAGATGATGCTTAACCAACATGTCACGTACCCCATCTCTTAGAGGCTGTGACTCTTTGCCTCTCTTTGGTGGTAATTCCCAGTCTGGATTTAAATTGAAGGCAAATTGGGAGAGTATCCTCAGCTCGCACTTGATTTGCACCCAACCTGGCGAATCTATATAACTCCAGGGATAATACCACTTTTGTACAATGTCCAGACATGAGCATAATACTTCCAACCATAAGTGTAACACTTGTTCATTCAAGCCGAGGCATATAAGTGAACGTAATTTGACATCCATTTGCGCATGCGCTTCATCGTGAGATTGATTAACGGCTTGTACACAACGAAACAAAAGCTCTTCTGGCGTCAAAACTTTTCCATCTTCATCTAGCCGATACGTCTTACATAGCACCAATCGACTATATACCGATTCAAAATCTTTTTCAACTTCACGTGTAGCTGCCTCCTCGATGAAGAGCCATGGATGTATCGGACCACCTAAAAATGATGGTCTCTTCATGCCGTGCTCCAGAAAAGCTTTGATAGAAGGCGCTAATGTTCCACGAACTAAATCTGTAACTGTTTCCGATATTGCGTCATCACCAGCAGAAGTATATAATTTACTACGTTCATCCAACAACTCTACAAATTTAGCAGGAAACCAGCCGCGAAGTCCGTTCAGTTCTCCTACCCAACAATGTTCATCTTTTTGACTGATTATTGTAATTATATCATTTTTACGGAAGCCTAACTCATCATCATCATGTCGTTCAAAGTCGTGCAATGCTTTGGCTCGCCGCTTTCGTCGACGCGCGACATTGATGAAATTTTCATGATCTTTGGCGTGCGAATCAGTACTATAATTCGCTGTCAACTGTATATGCGCTGCCAATTTGGGCTCAATGGTAATAAAGTGACGTGCTACCTTTAATATTGCCTCACGCAAGTCGACAAGAATTTCTGTTTGTCGTATATTTTTATTTTTTAATTCGACTGAATCAGGATCGCCACGAAAGAGGAGTGTTTCTAATATTGATTTGCTTTTTCGGACTTGACGACGTGCCAAATGTTGTTTTGGGAGATTTGGAACTGCTTCGGGATTACCAACGAGTCCACCTTGATCGGCCATAAGATAGGCAAGATGACGACGACGATGTGTATCGATAACAGTTTGACTCAAAGAGCCACCCACTTCCAGTGCTTCGTGAAAAAGAATCTGGAAAAAATATTTCTGATTCGTTATCACAATGGATGATTTCAACATAGTACCCATACCTGTACATCGTCCACTTCGCCAGGAATGTCCGAAAGCGAATTAAATATTTGAGCAGAGTTTTCTAGATTTTTTAAATCCTTTTCTTTCAACTTTAGCATACCCAAAGTAAGTTGAAAGAGTACGATGCTACCATCATAAAAGAACCAATCCCAAATACGAACCAAAATCTTCATGTGAACTACATTGGCAAAAAGTGTTAGAAACCAATGTAAAGTGATGAGAGATAATTCGATGTCGTGTTTCTTCAATGTTTCATCAACAGCGGTTAGATAATTCGCAATCAGAGTTTGCATTACACGCTGGTCAGCTTGTATGCCTAATAAAGTTGAGGAGTAATATGATGCGGGTAAGAGATCTTCCACTATTGTTGCCATCATCCAAAAAGCATTTTCTTCTTCCATAAAAAGTAGTAAGCATGCAGCTATAACACCAGTACCCTGACAGTAACCAATGTCTGGAAAAAGCCAAGCAATACCACGAAGTATACGACGAAGTCTTGGTATTCCAGTGCCGTGCGGATTGCTAAAGCATGCGTTAGTCGGTAATATCCGCAACAGATCTTTTTCTATCTGTTTTGAGGTCATAAGTTGATCATTTCCTGAAGCTAAGAGATTTTTTTTGAAAAATTCTTTAAACATTTGCATACGTATTTTATTGACTAATTTTCTTACCCTTTACTATATCATGATAACTGGTTTCGCTTTTCTGCTTTTTAGCTAACGCTCCTGACAATCGCATCCACATTTGTGCCCGCAAGGAATGTGGGATGCCATCACGCACCATATTTCGAAGTTTTTCAGTACGTGGCAACATTACATCTACATTTTCCCAAGTTAACTCAGTAGCCTCTTTATTGTGTGAAAACTCCAAATGAGCAATCCATTGCAATCGATGTTGCGCATCTTCCATAAATGGCTGAGAAAGAAGTTTATTCGAGCTTTGTTCAGGTCCATCTTCTTCTTCCACGCGAAATCCGAACTCATCAAAACGATAGTCAGGTTGATCGTTAGGGCCAGTTGATTCTGCCTCTGGTTGCCCAAGTTTAGCGAGAATTTCTTGTGGCCACATTGAGGGTGTTAATGCAGAAAATGGACCGCCGGGACTGGGTCGTAAGCCGTCTACCACGCACAAGTCCTCCATCATAGGCGGAAGCTCGTCTAGATTGTCATCTTCCGAGCTGTTCATTTGCAGTTTTTTCTATGAGAAAAGTTAAACATGTTAGATAAAAACTAAAATGTTGTCATATACATATATAATGGCTGCAGTGGTAGATGGGAAAGGGGAAACTTTCACTTACAATATGTTCCGCACGTCCCACGTATCCATCGTGGCCACGACCGAAAATACTTTCCATCGATAGTTTATTGACACTACTTGATGGTATATTTATTTATCCAAATATTATTGTTTATATTTCAATAATTAAAGGACAAAATATTATAAAACTAATGAGTCCACTTTTATCGATAATAAGTCCAGTTGGGTTTTTGACACTTGTGGGTGCATTGTTGACATTTCGGTAAATGGCAATTACTATACCAATAGTAAAATTCGCTATCGCAACCGTCAACCATAGCTGATTGCCGTATGATGTACAAAAGTGAGCAAAACTGATGATCGTAGTGCTATCTCGGAAACCATCTCTTCCCTACATACCATAAATCACAGTGATAGTAAAATGAAAATCTGTTGTCATTGTTGTTGCAATAATTGCAAAAATTTTCTAAATATTATTTTGGTCGGTTAAAAACCGGTGTCGTTCCGGTAGAAAGTTCCGTGTGTCACGGCAACTATTGGAATTAGTCGCATGCCTTTGCCTAGGGTAAATTCTTGAACCCCTATCCCGCCAGGTATAACATTTAGTGTAACTTCCTTATTTGCATCCGCACAGCAGTGTCATTATACTGTCTGAACTCATGTCTCTACATATGCCCATCAGCAAGCAGAATATATTAAGTTATAAAAAATCGAAGCCAAACATAAACTAATACATTGAACTCTTATAAATATAATTATTATCGAATTTAAATTATTTTAAGAAAAACTTGTGATGCTACCATCGCACGTACACTGGTAACATTGATTGTGAAAATTAACACAGAACGTCCTCTTACGTTTGTGAATATCTGTATTATAAGCTATATTCAGTGTGGGAAAACCAAAGTTTTTTTGCATATACCAAATAAGAACGTGAAATAATATACGGTCTTACGTCTGATCAGCTGAGGTCTGCCCTTGTTTATTTTTGAATTGTCAAATCCAGCTGATTTTAGTAAGAGAAATTTTGTCTGCGTTTTCAAATTGTTTTGATGGACAGATAAATATTTGTGATAAATAAATTTTAAAGACGAAAATATAATAAACTTGTGCATAGTATGAATGCAAAACCGATAATAACATGTAAGTCAATTAACACACTAATTTACTCAATTTGTAAATTTCATTCTCCTAGACTCGGGCGCTGGTCCACTGTTTCGGTCGCTTGAAGCTCAAATTCTTAATGCTATACCATTGGACACATGCGAATGGCGACGTACATTTCATCGTCCGTCGAAACAAGTACGTTTAGAAGTACAAACCCAACCTTTTAATGTAAATGTGCTTGAAAAATATAAAAAAGGCGAGTGGAGTATATTGGAGCATCCCATCTTGCACATCTTTGTTACAGAATGCAATGTAAATATTTATTAATTCTCTAAAATTAAATTCTTTTCGGTTAATAAGTTTACTATAACACAGGACTTAGACACGTACAAAGCTTCGGCGCATGAAGAAATTAAAAATTGGTTGAAACAGTTAACTTCATATGGAATCTCTGATTGGATGATTTTATTGGTAGAGACATTGGACGTTCGCAAAGCGAAAAACCTACTACCACGAACAACAGTGCTGGATAAAATACGCCAAGATTTTGCTACGAAAAATGATGATCGATGCATTTCAGTGTTGAATCCTGCGAAATTCGAGCAGAAGTCTGCTGAGTCGTTTCGTTGCTTGGTTCAACGCATTAGGTTGGTTTTTATTTTTTTATAATTTTGTTTTTAATTACAAGTTAACAATCACCCCCTTTCCGTTTATGAATACAGATTCTTAATACTTGCAAGTTACAATCGCAACATCGCTAAATATGAGGAACTTATACGAAGCCGACGCGAAAAACGCAATCATGATGGCTGGGATTTTCGCCAGTACTTTTTTATGCAAGAAGATTTGGCATTGATCTTTGAGAAACTTGAATTACATACTGAAGCGCTCATTCAATATGACGAATTGGACGCAATGTTTTCTCAGTTCATAACTAATACTGGCTTTGGCGAAAAACAAAGATGGCTGGAGTACTTTAGACAACCGTTAAGTTCATTTCACGGCATTTGCTTAAGTCGACGAGATAAGTTTGAAATTCGCAATAAAATTAAAGAAGGGCCAGTTTCCATATTAGAATTCCGCAATTACTTATTCGAACGGCAAGCTCATCTTTTACAACAGAATAACGAGACACCGGAAATCGCCAGACGTCTGTTGAATTTTCTGTTTTCAACCTTGCGAGAAATTGAACTTGTAAAGTTAGATACTCCAGAAGGAGCATTGTCATGTTGGGAATTTGTTTGTGCTGTGGAAGTATTGCAGACTTGTGAGCAGGCCATGGAACCTAACGGTATGATTTGCTTTCAACATTGTGCGCCCATCTGGAATTTAGCAAAAGATAAATTATATGAATTGGGCAAACTTTGTGGTCTACTTCCGGGCTTTACACCTTCGTCTGAACAATTACACATCGTCGTGCAACTCTCTGCTGGAATTGGTGACACACCGTTGGAACAGTCGCAGTTTTTGAATCCTACACCCCAGATTTCAGAGCAAAAACGGGATCGGTCGCCCAACCGTCGACCGAAAAAACCAGCTACGGACCAATTGAAAGAAGCCTTAGGATCCAATGAAGCATTTCAAAAGCTTTACTTAGAGCTAGCTGAATTGGCAATTAGCACTTACAAACATGTTACACGACTTCGTTCTGCCCGTTTAGTGGGTCTAGATTTAGGCAACTTTTATTGCGCACTCAATGAACCGCATAAAGCAGTTGGTTTCTTCACAGATTTGTTGCGTGAATTAAAGGCCGAAAACTGGCACGCCTTAAGTTCACAGACGTTGCTGGAACTAGCTAATTGTTACCGTAAAATGGGAGATTCTTTAGCTTATACAAAAACATGCAGCTCCATATCCTGCTGTCAAGAGTTGGAGATGCTGGTGCGTTCGTTTTATTTCGATGAGTTCCTCAAATCAGTAAAGACACTTACAACCTCTCTCTCAGCACAACCATCTTTGGAAAATGCTAATTATTGCGTACTTGAAGATCATTTTCGAATTTGCGATATAATTGTACTGAATGAGGAACCAATAATACAAGATGATATTATTATGGTACAATTAAAATTAGAAAGCATGTACCCACGAGAAGTAGTGGCTGAAAGTATACAGCTTTCTTATGAAATACATGCTTCACCACTTGCAAGCGAGGCGACGGTGCCAAATCGAGCCGCGCTGGCCAGTAGCTCAATAGACGGAAAGCTTAGTAGAATACCGACATCATCACCACTTAAAGAGTCTCGTCTTAAGATGTCACTGCGTTTAGATTATAAACAGGATAATACCCTGGATTGTGCTTCGGTAGAATGCGACGTGCCCAAAGCGAAGCAACCCGTTCGACGTACTAGCAGTACCAAACGGAAGCTTTCGCCTAGTGTGCAGTCTGACTTTACGAATTTCGTAGCAACGGAAAATGTTGCCATACCACCTGGATATAATATTATCGAGTTGAAATCTAAAGCTACCCGTGTGGGAACATGGGACTTCAAGCAGGTTTGTTAATTCTTAAAATTTTTGTTAACTTCGTTAAAAATGATTTTTTTTTTTACTATTTTATTTGTAGATGCGTATATCTATATCACAGTTGGAATTCTTTTCGGAGAATATTCCATTTAGAGCATCACCATTTGTGATCACCACCAAGCCGGCTGCGGCGGTGCTTAACTTTAAGAATTTGATTGCAGGTATTGAACAACCCGTTCGTTTGATTGTTTCCGGTGGGAGTTTCATATTCCCAACTGATGCTAAAATTACTTTGAAATGCTCAAAGAATTTACGCATTCGCATGTCATGTCGTTCTGGGGAAGAAAATGGTGACAATCTTACTAACGAAAGTGAAGGTATTCTTCACGAAATTGTCAAAGATAAAGTTACTACTACTGCTTTGGAAGATGACTCTACATTTGCTAGTGTACTGCAAGTTCCATTACAAAATTTCAAATCTTTTGAGGAACGGGAAATTCCGCTAGAAGTATTAACTGACTTGCCAGGTCGCAAAATATCTAAGCATTTAGAGCATTATGTGACGCTAACATGTCCATGGTCCCGTAATGAACTGCAGATAGCGATAGATTTTCAGCCCGCTTTGGAGGCCCAATGCCGTCTACATACCTGCGGAACTCAAAAATTCTTACATGTCGTGATGAAAGGACTGGAAGCAAATTTATATTTAACGGAAGCAAAGGTCAAATGTGATGTTTCTGGTGTGCGTCTAATAGATTTGAATCCACCATCACAAGCGCGAGTGGTGTGTAGTTTAATGTTTATGATGATTATTTAAAGATTTTTTTTCTAAAAAGTATTCTTGTTTTACAGCAAATCTATAAAGGATTAACGGTCTCTTATCTTTATGAAATACAAGTGGAACCGTTAAAAGCTGAGGTAGAGTTACCAGCGGTCATCAAAGTGCATTTTATAACAAAATACTCAACCGTAGAAAATCCGCAATTGTTGCGTAACTACGGCTGCGCTTTCGATTTAGTAGACTATACAACGCTTTTCAAGGTGCAAACACAATTGGAACCAAACGAATTGTGTCGTCTGCGTTCTGTGTGTAATTTAAATTTGAAAATTACTAAGGTACATGAAAATCCCTATGTGGACTTAATGTATGAGGTGCTGAGCGATCAGAATTTATGGGCAGTATGTGGACGGTCAGCAGGTTGGTTCTAAGTATTTGATTTGTACATAGCAATACTTACATATGTGTTATCAACATAATCAATTGCTAAAAGTAAAGGAAAGAAGATTCGCATTGACAAATTCAAGATTTAGTTAAACTCAATGCTGTCCTTTACTCTTAACATTTAATTTGCACAGATATCAGAATATTTCTACTTTTGATGTCTATTAACAGTTTTTCTTTATTTTTATTTTACTTTTCAAAAAGTCTGTGGTGAGTAGAGCAGTTAAAACTAAATTAAAAAATGCGAATAATTTTACGTAGTTAAAGTCTTGTTTATGTACATCTGAGCATATCTGAGCATATGTATGTTTATGTATGCCTTTTTCAAAATAAACTTACTATTGCAGGCGTTGTATCAATGAAAGATGTGGATTGCCACTCAATATCCTTGGACGTCATGCCCTTGAGTACGGGCTTTCTACCGATGCCGAATATACGCTTGTCACGTTATACAGCTGGTGGGAAGAACAAAGCTGATACACATTCCAAAGTGCATCCATTTCCACAGGGTCAAGTTTACAACAGCACAAAAAGTATGCAGATTCATGTCATAGCCAGCAGCAATGGCGAACAATAGAATTAAGGTTTAAACTAAGCGAAATTTATCAACTTCTACGTACATTTACTCGTCTGTAGTTATATTATTTAAGGGCAATCTGTGAAAGTATTATTGTTGCAATATTTTTGAGAGAGAGAAAAATTTGTTCGCATTCACAATCGAGTTGTTTAGTAAAAAGTATACATACATATTTATAGCCATATGCATGGTCGTATGTGCATACATACATACATACATACACATGTTTTTTTATTTGATAAACTCCCACAAGTATCTACTGATATTGCATATTTTTGCTGACATATAAACCATTGTTGACATCAATTTGTAATACGAGTATATTAATTAAAGTAGGAATTTTATAGTACTAATTTGATTTTCGTAACGTTTGTATAGGGGTTTTCTTTGTTTCAGCAAATAATATGCATATTTATAAATTACTTTTAATATTGCATATCGTACATATGTATATTAAAAAACATAAGTAAAACTACATTTCAAGCCGTTCTGCCTTTATATTATCAATACTCGTATTTATTAAATTATATTTCATGCAAATAATACCCAAAATATGCCAAAAGTACTACAATTCACTATTTAGTTTCTCGAGTTGTTCACTGTGTAATCGGTAGAAATGCCATTCCTCACTCTCCGTTAAATCTTCAGCACCCATTCTATTGTAAAATTTTCGCGCTGGATTCCAACCGAGTACATGAAAATCCATGCGCTTACAATTGTACTCCTTCGCTTTTGCCGCCACGGCTTTGAACAGATAAGCACCCGCACCGATGTTGCGATACGTAGGACGTACGTAGATATCTTCAAGAAAGTACGATTTCCCCTGCCAGGTTGAGTAGGAGTAGAAGCATATGCTATAACCTATTATTATGCTGTTAAGGAAAACAATATGTCATGATGAAATAATATTTTGAATAAATTATGGTGAGAGGGGTAATTAAAATTGCAATGCATTGTACTGAGAACATTTAATATACATGGATGCCCAACGTATCAATAGGCGAAGAGCATAGGTAGGTGTTTGATGTTCTCTTTTAGAATTACACATTTTTGTTGGCTTATCGGTGTCTAGCAACAAATATTCGAAAATTATTTGTAATTGCCAACGTATTTGATGGGCTCTAATATTTAAATATTTACACTCGTGTTTGTATGTATACGTTAAATATGTATAAATGATCTAAATTTTTGAATTGAAAAGAAAATGCTGTGGGTTGCAATAATAAATATTATATGTATACATATATATAATAATCAAAATCTGAAACTGTTTCTCTAATATTAATAACACAATTTAAGAAATACTTTTTTTTCGAACTAAAAATAATTTTGTAAGGCCCATGTAGTGTTTAATATATGTACATATGTAATTATGCGGTTACTCACGGTGTAGGTTGGTCATCGGATTGCAGGTCGAGGACATAAATATGACAAAATTCTTGGCCACCATCGAGACCGGCATCGCGAATCAAATCTGAAGAGTCAATAGGGTAAATACTTCAAAATTTAGCAGCTAAAGTACAAAGACTCAATACTTTACCCTTTTCTGTAAGCTTTGGACCATCACTCATTTTCTCGAAATCGGCCAGTTCCTACGAGGAAATAGGGCATACATATAGGTAAATCTTAGGAATAATGGTCGTGAATGTACATAAGTATGTATTTCGTTGTTAATAAGAACCACTTGAAGAGAACACTACATCTCATTAGCTTCCAACAGCTTACCTGTATCATTTGATGCACTGCACCAATATCTTCAATTCTGGCACGACGAAATGTGAATTTCCGTGTTGTCGCCATCCCTCCAATATGTATTTATTAACGATGATTTAATTAAGAATTGCAGGTGATTTCACAAGCTGCCTATTATTTCGATATTCCGCTTATCAGAGCAGTTTGCTTAGTTTGCTCTGTTATCACTGCCGGTGCTTAGCCATCGACAATCGTTTGCCAATAAATCTCTATTAGAGTTGCCAAGTCGTAGTTTTTTAAACATTACAACTGTAGAAATTAATTTTGGATGTAAGCCTGGTCAGGGTTCGAGCCCGTGACCTTCTACATGACGTTGTGCACTGTTAACAACGCAACTAATGTTGTCTTTATATTGCATGAACTTTTCGACCGCTGTTGGTAACTGTACGAAAATATGTACACGTAGAAATATATTTTTATGTGTTCAGTTGTGTATTAACGACATGATTTTTCATGTCAGGATTTGTTGTTTTAGCTCAAAGTTTCAATCCGACTTTTCCAAAGATGTGAACTAAATTAAATATATGTACATACATGTACATACATACATACATTCATATGTGGACTTACGCATGCAATTATGTAGGCATTTAAATACATACATACGATTCTAATTCATAGTTTCTTATCTCTACCAACAAAAACGTAGGCAAAGGTGGAATAGGGTTGCGTTATGCTTGCTTTGCATAGATGTACACATATACATACATATGTACATGTATGTATGCATGTATGTGTGTACGCATGTATGCATGTACATAGTATATAAAGACATTGACTGGAATTGGCTTCTTATCGCATCAACTGAATGTTCGTTCCTCGATTGTCAGTAAACATCAGTGACCTCTTCACCATTAAGTCAAGTTGTTTTTCGCTTTTGTGGCAGCACATTTATGTCTCACTGTCAATAATAACAGCATTAAACGCCACAAGCAATGGCACTTACATTAAAATGTATGTACATATTTATATACATAAATTTTTTTTATGTACATACATATGCACATACATATACAAAGGAGTATATGTATGTATGCATGTTCACATTGGTTTTGTGCCAATGACTTCAACGACGCATTTAAAATAGCCAAGTAATAACATAATTTTTCATTTAATGCCGTTAAAATATTCTTTGCTTATCTCAAAAATTCTCCTACCGTTGTTGGCGGTCGTGTTGATGCAAATGAGTCTACGAGTATATGAAGTTACATGTTTCGAAATGCAGAAATCTGTGGGGCAGAAACTGCGTCCTAAATCTTTCAATTGTACTTTGGTGTTTGACTAGATCGTATTATTATTATCATTTTTCAAAAAACATATCGAAAGTCCGTAAATTTTAGGTAAACGGATACATGTGTGGTTGGAAGGCATATTTTTTGTAGTGACTCCACTCCTCATCGAATTTATCCAATGAAAATTAAACGATTTTTATGTTTACTCGGGTAGAGAACCCTGTCATCCGTGGAAATCTCACAAGCATTTGATATCTTTATATCAGCCACTGGAGAAATTCTGTAAGAGATTAATGCCATATTCCTCAGCAAATACCACTAGCAATGAGTTTAGAGTGTTAACTGGATAATGTTCTCTTTTCATTTTTGGCGTACGTAATAAACAAAAGGTCATGATTTAAGTCCTGATCCGACCAACATCCTAAAAAATAGAAATGTATCTATTTTCCCTTAGCAGGAAGTGTGAACCCGCCAGAGTGTGTTTCTGACAAGAAATAAAAGCTCCTCCTTAACAACTATCGGAAAAACATCCCAGACGCACAGCACAAATTGTAGGAGGAGCTCGGCCGAAAATCGCTTCTGCGACTACAAAGCGCAACTTAAGAATTTAATTAAATTTATATTACATTTGAAATTACTAGATATGTATGAATGTTTGTAGAAAATCACTTAGAACATCTGTATTACACACTTATTTATTTAAACTTGTAAATATACTTAAACTGGTTTTATTTCATCATCAAAATACTAGTATTTAACTAGAGCCTTAACATACCAGTCTTTCCTTTCACTGCAGGGTACCTACACGTATGAGCCTACAGATTTCAGTTGTTTTTTTTTTTCAAATATTATTATTATTTTTAATGTACTCGTATGAACGTATGTACATACACCACATACATATATTATTTATTATTATCGCTTCAACGCCGAACCGCCGACTATAAAGCACTAGCCACCAGTCGCGCATGCAAATAAAAAACTTCACTGATAACGGCCATACAAAACAGCGGCGACGATGACTTGAATTTGTGCTTGGTGTGATGAAACCAAGTAACGGCACCATGCTTGTGAGAAAGGCGATTATTCTTTAGAAATGGTGGCCACTGTCATGCCACAACATCCATTCGCGGCCTGTTGCTGTGCAGGCTTCATATCAAGAGTCTCCTCCTCCTGCGCTGTCATATACGGGAGCCATTGAAAGATGGGGGTAGCTCGGCTGAAGATTACTTCATTTTACCGACCCTTTTCCTTGGCTGTTCTTATGAAAGACAATCAAACATACAAAATATGCATAAATGTACGAATGTATGTATTTATATATGTACATATGCACATTCGTTATAATAAACCCTTTGTGATGCATTCGGAATAAAAGCATTTGTATATGTAATTATGTGCAGAGGTATGACCGCGATAGCCGGGTGGTTAGCATTGCTTACTGCCATTCAAAAGACCGGAGTTCAAATTCTGGTGCGACCAACATCCAAAAGTCATAGAAAATTAAGTTAAATTTTCTAATTGCGGTCGCCCCTCGGCAGGGAATGTCAGCCCCTCCCAGTATATTTCTGGCATTAAACCAAAACTCCTCCTAAAAAAACCCATAAGCCGTTCGGAAGCAATTTGGGATAAACAAAACGCAGAACCACAAATTGGAGGGGGAGCTCGGCCGAAAATCGTTTTAGCGGTTACAAAGCGCCAATTATGTACATATGTACATATGTACGTATGTTTGTTATCGCAAATTATTTGGACAGACAGAAGCATAATCCTTAATTCAATGTGCAATGTCATTATTTTTGCTTAGGTTGGTATCACCGCCAAGAGTTTCTTGCAGTTGGAGGCGTGTGCACAGATAGAAAACTCTTATCGTCATGGAAAAATAATTTTTATTTTGAAATTTCATAATTTTTCTGTTAAACATATTTAAGTGCCAACTCAATATTTTTTATACAAATATTTATTTGGTGTTTCGAATAGTAATATGTGTATTCTTTATTTTTATACATATGTACATATGCACATATGTGTGTATATGTGGCCTATGGCGTGAGTTTTAATTTTCTGAAGCATTGTTTGCTTTTGCCTTGCTTACGACTTACTACCCTCTAAGTCTTGTCGAATCGAAGACTATTAACAATTTCTTTTCGAGCTCATGGCGCCGAATCTGATTTCGTTAAGTAAATTTTTCATATTAACATAACAAAATGGCATCGCCTCGTTAGATGCGAATTCGTGCGTCAAACAGTGGACCAAAGCTTGAGGACGAAGGACCAACTTAGTCGAAAGAACCCTTCTCATGGTTCAATATGCTTCTAATTTTTGGGGCCATAGGTAGGTCTTTGTCTACATTAATACGTGGAAAATTAAATAGATAACGTAAAAATCATTTAGAAATTATATAAGAACCATTTTCGAATTCCATGCGGTCGAAGTTTCGGATAAAATCTACTGATCGTACATATATATGTAATACAGTTTTAAGAAGGCTCTGATAGGCTGAGAATAGAGGTGACATCAGACATTGCAATTTACACAAAATTTTTATCTATCTAATTTCTGAAGCGCATATAATTTGCGGAAATGAAAATTTCACTGTGTGATCGCACTCATTTATCTGCAATTTGATTTCGATAATCAGATTTTCAATTGCTCCTGCTGAACTAGCAATTCCTATCTTTACATAAATTGGAATTCAATTTCATGAATTTTCTGATTCATCGTGTGACCTTTATTGAAATTAAATATCGAAATTTATCATTTTGACGTGCAATTAGCGATTGATTAATTGCTGCGCTTACGGCACCTTAAAACGAATTGTTACCCACTCGGTTACAGCGGCCGCTAATACATATGTATGTACATATTTGAATTTACTACACCAAAAATGAGTTTGCGGGTGGTCGAGATTGCATCAAGAAGTCTAATTCGCTCATGCCGTCTCAAAGATACAAGTTTTCTTATTTAATGCTTACAAGTAAGTAAACCACGCCCACTTCAAGTAGGGTATCTAAGCTTCGGTGTTTCTAAGTTTTTATCAAATTTTTTTTTTATCTGGCCGCGTGACGTCAAAAACAATCAGTTTGGACTTGGTAGTATATTTTACATACATACTTATGCACACACACATTTGCAATCATATTGGCGTATGCGTGAAACAAACGCTGTTGATAGCAGACTGAGTTTCATTAAGTAAACTGTAGCGATAAAAGAAGGAAAAGCAAGGCTTGTCACTCCAATAACAATTACAACAATACCTCAATTGTAGATTAGACAAGTTTATCGCTTTCCATTATGCTTATCATACTGGCTTGTATATTTTCTTTCAGCCTGTTTTTGTTATTGTTTTAGTGTTACAGTTGTTGATTCATATACTTTTTTTTTCAATTTTATTTAGCAGTCACATTTGCGCGCCCAGACATATTGGCACTTTTTGTGAATGGATGAGAATTGTGAGAGAAAAAAAAAACAGAAGCAATTTTACGAACTGAATGAAATACCATTTGTTGTAAAATTGTTTATGCACTCATATACATACATACATATACTACTTGTATTTTTTTTTTTTTTATCAGTTACTGAAGGTCGCCACTGATATCCGATCTTTAGCTGCTTTTGTTTGCAATGACGACGGGGGACTCCTACCGCTGATTATGTTTTTGAAAAATGCTTTGAATGTGTTTATTTATTTATTTGTTGTTCTTCTGTGGTTACTGTTATCTAAATCATGTGTACATACACGTATACTGCAAATGAGAATATCATATCAAATCTGTGTTATTTATACATATGTAAGTATGTATGCGAATATACTTACTTTTACAGAGGCTTACAAGGCAGATTTTATAATTAAATGATTTTTTTGTTATATTATTATATAAATTATTTAGCTTAACAAAGCTCAATTTAATTTTTTTTCAACGCCTTAATTCCAAATTTTAAATTCATTTATATTTACACAAATCATTTATTTAAATTATATACCGTTAGTAACAAATTGTTATTCTAAAATTTTTATTCAAACTTTGTTTTCTGATTTGCTGACGCATTATTTTTTATTAAACTTAAATATATATGTATGTATGTAGTACATACTTATTATGTACGTGTATGTTCTTCATTGCTGTACTGCTATTTGATTCTTGACATCAACGCCCTAAATAAATTTCACAAGGCAACAAAAACAAAATAGAAATATTAAATATAAAATTGAAGCTGTTTTTTAAGACATTTGCAATTTACTATTTGTATGTAAATATAATGTTATAAAAATACTGATTTGTATTTGCACGAAATAAATTTAAAAAATATTCACTCGGGTGAGTTAATAAAGACGACTTATACACGCATTATGTATGATATGTGCAAAGATATGTACGTATGTACATATATATGTTATATATTTTCATATCGAGCATTTTTGCGTTTATACCTTGGTAAAAAAATTAGCTCTTTGTTGTAAATAGATTATTACTTAACCTTAAAAAACGATCCGAATATAAATTAATTTCAATTTTAACTAAAAAAAATCACTAAAGTTTCACTAAAAGCAATGTTTACGAGTACATGTACATATATATATATATATATGACTTATTATTTACGTATATGAAATGTTTTGTTTAAATTACATTATCTACTTAAATTTTTTTGCTTATGCGTTTAATACAAGAAACATGGTCTAAATGTTGGTGAAATGGTTGAAAACCAATAACTGTTTAAATCAAGTACATTTCCTTCGAAAAGAGCATAAAATTTAATGCGATACATGAGTCGGCCTTATTGTTAATCCAACGACGTATTTGTTTGTGTGTGCCGGTTATTCGCTGCTCTTAGTCTTTCAAGTAAAGTAAGCCACACATGCAATTTAGATCTGTGCTCATTTATTCTCAAGTTAAAAGTAAACTCAATTAAACACGATGGTTTATAGCCCTCAGCCGCAAAAATTCTCGTAAAAGAAGAATTTTAGGTAAAAAGCGCAAGAAATACCATTTATTCAAATGGGTCCGTCTCTGGTCCAGATCAAGGTGCAAATAGAAGTCTTTCTGTTATTCTGCGCAAAAAGCCATCTATGTACCTAGTTTCAAGCAAATCGAAACAGACTAGGTCAGTCCCCGGTCTACTTCCCGAAAGGTTTCTTTCATACAAACCTATACAGGAATCATAGAAATAAATGCGGCACAGAATATACCAAAATCGAAATTCCTACTGGGTGGCTTGGTTATTTTATTTTTATAAAAACGAGAACTTTTGTACCGTTATAGGATTGCTTGTTTCATTTCATTGGTATTTGTTTTTAAGCATGGAACTTTGACCATTTTCGAGCCGTTTATTCATTTACCAATTATTGTATATTTTATAAATCTCATTTAAGTTATATATTCCCTGAATATTGGTTTGAACTTGTAGCATTCTGCTTTGCATAATAAAAACAATTATAAGCGAAACTACGAAGATTATACATATGCACATATTTAGATATGTAGAAACAAATTTATTACAATATATACATACTAAAAGCTCTAAACATTGGTTATATATGTAATTGGTTGTGTAGAAGTGTGAACTTATCACTCTATGAACGATCTTTTTTTTTAAAACGTAATTCATTTATTACTTAATTTGCTTGGACCTACTGTAAATGCACAAATCTTAAAACTAAATTAACACACAGCCCTTTTCAAACTATGGAGCTCTCTCTCGCGAATTTTTAGAAGAGTTGCCCAAAGCGTTAGCTAAGTTTCGTTTCGTGGGGTACTTCGTTCGGCTCCTATCAAACGTACCACGGTCTGCTCGTTATTATCCTTAGAAGTTTCGACTGGAACCTCAATATTTTCTCAATATTAGTAGCGGAGGTCATTTACCACACTTGAATGCTATCTGTCCAAATTGGTCGCGAAAAGGCAATTAAAGCAAGCTGATTCTAATTTCATATTTAATATTTTGGTACTGATGTGACTCTTCCATATGAGCCTTGTCTTCGAGTGTATGCCGTGGTATGTTACATCGTTTGTTTGGTGAATATTTATACCATTTAAAATTTCAAACTCAGGATATGTTTATTGGCGCAATGTAAATGTAACCTGCTAACACTTTTGTTCATCGATTTCAATTCTCTAGTTTACCAGCCATTTTTCCAAGTAAATGGTTTCCAATCGTTTTCGGAGGTTTTTAATTGACACTTTGTAACCGCTAAAGTGATTTTCTGTCTAGCTCCTAATCCAATTTGAGAATTTGCTTACTGATGTTTTTCCAACAAATGGAGAGACCTACAGTTTATACTAAGCCGCCTCCGAACGGCTGATGGGGTTTTTACGAGGAGCCTTTATTTCAAGTCGGAAATACACTCGGAGGAGTGGACATTCCCTGCCGAGGGGCGACCGCAATTAGAAAATTTAACTTAACTTTTCATTTTATTTAAATTGATTTTCCATAACTTTTGGATGTTGGTCGTGCCAGAATAAGAGCCCACGCCTTCCGAATGGCAGAACGCAATGTTACCAATCGGCTACCGCGGCCGCGGTCGAACGCTTACGCAGCATCAAAAAATATTACACCGCAATACTCTTTAATCATTGATGCTTTCCTAATTTCTGCAGGACCACATTTTTCACGAAAACCGAATTGGGGTTCTGGTATCACTTTGTTAGGAGATTCGGAAGTGTCTTTTGTTTTAGTTCTTATTTTTTTTCGGTATTTCCTGCCCAAGAATGAATACATTCATTTAAAACCTGTGCATCCAGCAAGTATAGCTGTACATCTACTAATCGTAGATTACGAATAATACTAAATAGCAGTTACTTACTTAATATGAAATTAAATTAACTTAATGTGATCCTTTATTGATTAATTTCACGTTAATTGCACAATCAATAATTCAGTCGACTGGGGTCGTGCAGTAAACAATTTCTGATAGTGGTACGAGCAATCAGGTTAGGCGCCATTAGCTACATACCCATCATGCCACCAACTTGAGTCATTGTTAGCAGTATTTAGTGATATGGGCGTAGCCAATACAAAACGTCAACATAAAGCGCCATTACTTTGATAAGGATACGGTTGCGATAGGGATAGTCGTATAGTCAATTGATACGACATCGGTTATTGACGAAGAAGAAACTTACTCACAAACAAACACATACATATATATGAATATATGTATGTGCATGCATATGTATTTACATACATATGTGTACGAGAATTTTTTCGATGTTGGTAGAAATTAGTGCAATGCCCTACGCAGTCAAAGCCTTTATCGCTCCGTCTTGTCGAGACGAATTGTCTAGGCTCGCGACGATGAGCCGGTATCAGGGCTTCCGACAAGTGATATCTTCCAGCGGCCGCATGGTCAATAGGCCAACGACTATCGGCTGAACTGATGATATGGCTGGAATATCAGCCATTGTTAGATTGCTATTGCCGTTGAATGTACTACATAGTTAGTATGTATTAAAGGTGATATGGACTTGTGTGATAAGTTTTAATCAGGAATTTTGTATTGCGGTTTTAGCTTTGGAATTTTTATTAGTAATTTTAATTTTGTCGTTTCATTATGTTGTGCATACTCCGTCGTAGCTCACTTAGTTGTTGTGTTGATGATAAAAGTGTAAACCGGCAGTGTGTTTTTTTCTAGATTCTCTCCCGGGTGGTAGGCGGCGAAGTGTTTGGTTTCAGTCGTAGGCGCACGGTTAGCAAAGTTTGTAGCTTCGCGTCCTGCTACCAAAAATTATAAAATTTCAATATAAAATTTTTCCGACCTTTCCTAATTCATCGACGTGTTTCGGAAGTATTTTAAGCCACATATGTAGACGTATGTATGTATGTACGGGCATACTAACGTGGCTTTATTCAGTAGATCTATTATGTGCCACACTCATATCCGCGTGTTGTCGTCATATGTGTCTCGGACTTCGAGTGGGAATTCGTGAGTGTTTAATCTCGGCGAGCCGCATGATTATCGAAAACTCCGGGGTGTGGATGCTGCTGTTTGGGCGTGATACTGTGAAACCAAACTAAATTTATGGGTGTGACATAGTCAATACCTTTGTGCTCATGTTTGCATGCGAATAAGGATGTGCTAACGTACATATGGAACTATGTTTGTATATGCGATTTTGTATGGTGGTGTGTGTGAGCGCTTATCTTTGAATGCAAATAAAAATTGACTTCCGCCATTCAGGTAGCTTAGCGAATTGAAATTCTGTGGTCAGTCAAAACGTTCGTGTGGACACGTTGTACCAACACAACTGTAAGAATATGCCAACAACGGTAAAATTTTGGAAACGAAAGGCATACTCATCGCCACCAACTGCAGTGGACGATTATTGCTAATAAACACTGTGTACGCCTTCTAAATGCGATTACAAACAATGTGTAAGAAAAAATAAAAATAAGTGTTTCAGAGCGCTAACTGTTAATTCAATTTGATTTTCAAAAAATGTGTGCTTGTGTGGCATTGTTTTGTTTCACAGTTATACCATGCCATAGAGGTTTAGGTTTTCTAGTTGTTAGTGACCAGATGCCCGCTGAAATGCAATTATTTTTGTAATAACGCGTTCCCATGTGTTGACGTTGAAGCAGCAGACTGACCTAGAGACGCCCCCAAAAACGACATATCACTCCGTATTTAAAAATAAATATATTTTAATTGATAGTCGAGGGAACATAAATGGATATATAATATATATATACGTTTGTATGTACGCATAATTGGCGCATTGTAGCCGCTGAAACAATTTTTGGATTTTTTTTTAAATAATAATAAGTAAATTTAAGAAAAATTTAAATATTTAAATTGTAAATCAAATTTTATTGATGTTGAGTGTGCGTTAAATGTTTAACAAATGCAAAGATAATTCTCGATTCAATTAATAAAATATAATTGTAATATTGAAATTTAATACACTTTTTCGAGAATAATCTTTATTCTAAATTTAACTGTAAAGCTGAACGACAATTTTTTATTTACTTAGCACTTTTTGCCACAAATTGGATGGTATCTTAGCCATAACTTGGTTGAATGTTGGTTTTCAAATGCGCAAGGGTTAAAGGTTTATCCGCATATAAGCGGTATTTTGTCGTAACCATACAAGAAAGGTCCAACGGTGTCAAATCTCACGATCTCAGTGATCCAATCACACTTTCATGTGAAAGAGTGCATCAGGTAGTAAGCTTGGTTTTTGGGTATATTGGCCTCTTTTCCATTATTTGAAGATTCTTAGAGCCGCAAGTGTGACAGTTTTGTTTACAGACGTATCACCGGAGTGAGAAATGTGCATCGTCGCTGAATAAAATATTGTGTCGAAAATCATCGTCCACTGCTTGTTCAAGCATCCAATCGACGAATGTACGGTGTTGAGAATGGTCAGCTGGCTTCAGTGGTTGTGTGTTCTGGACTTTATATGGATGTAGGTGTAAGTTCAAGGGCGAAAAACGTCATAAGAAATTCTCTGCTCTTGTAGAAAAATGTGCACATTCAGTTCCACTTGCAGTATCGATATATGAAACGAGTAATAGGTCTTAACAATTTTAAGACATTTTGCGGTTGTTTAGCGATCTGTTTTCATAAATGCCTGGTTTTTAACTAAATCAAAACATGTTTGGCTTCCTATACTTTTGAAACCTGGACAGGGAGAGCTCTATATTATGACATTGCTGTCGTAGGCGTGTAAGTAAATACCAGCTCAAAAACTGAAGCTGGATACTTTGGGTTTTTGCCATAGTTGAAAACCGATTTGAGTAAGATTCCATTCAGTTTGATATGAATAAAAACATAAATTAGAAAAATTCCATGCTCTAATGTTCAGGATAGTCAAAAGCTTTGTGGAGCTAAAATATTTTCAAAAGTATAAATTCTTGCGTATGTATTACACATACATATGTATTTGTATGATGCTCGATGCTCAGATTTTCGTTTTTTTTGTGAAAATAATTTTGTAATTGTAATATTCTTACACGCTGAGCGGCAATTTTTCAAAAGGAAATCTCCAATTTTAAAATACCGCAGACGTACGTATGAAAAAAAAACTTTGAAGGACAACTCTGTCCCGGACAAAACGAAAATTGCCAAAAAAAATCAAACAAAAGATGTGAAATACATACATATGTACATATATGTATATCACATACTATAATAACAAAAACCAAAATGTAAGCAACAAATAAAAGTGCTTAAATAAAATTCAAAATAAAATAGAAAAATAACAGGCAAACACAACTGAGCAAAAGGAAATTATTAAACCACGACACAAGAAATGATCCTGCCACAACTTACATACATACACATAAATATAACATACACATTCACTTGCATGAATACTCGTATGCATACAATTTGTACATTTTGTACGCAAGCTGGAAAAGACAAATACGACAAATGTAACAACACCAGGGAAAGCAAGCAGAAACCGAAACAAATAAGAGAATTAATTGTAAGAGAAGAACATTTTAGAACGTGTCCAGTCGTATGTCATGTAGCATACGTGTATACGCATGTGTGTATGTGCATATACTACATAAGAACATACAGATTTACGTCTGCAGATATGCTTATAAACATTTTATGGGATAATGCACATGACCTTTTCTCGCCATACACTTCTGGATATCTGTTTACTGCAGATTACTGTACATTAAAAACTTAATAAGTCAAAAGTGCGATTTCAAATTAACCTGTCTCTCGTGATTCTTCCATGCATGTACCTTTATATATACACATATATACATATGTACAGCAAATCCGCAATTATTGAGCTCTTGTACGCTAAGCCGCATTGTCTCAAGCCAATCCTGCACGTGTCGACCCTTCCTGTGGTCATTATACAAACAAGTATTTATCATTTATTTGCCAGGATGTGGCAGGCTCGCTTTCCATTTCTTTTGCCCTTCTTCACTTGTGTCTATTCACCAGTCTATTTGTCGTTGTCGTTGTCGTTGTTGTCATTGTTTGTTGGCATAAATGCTCGCCCCGTCACAATTAATTGAGGTTCCCTTATTTGGGTTTTCAACAGGTTTGGTGTCTGCCAAACTCTACACGTACGTTGAGCTGTTTGCGTTCTCTTGGCTTGGTGTCATATCGAGAAAAGAACATACAAAAATAGTGACCCATTGCGGAAATGAAGTGGTGATTGGAGGGCTCCAATTTAATGTTCAAATGCATGCATTTATCGGTTTTAAAAGTCAGTAGTTACTACAATGTGTGTGTATTTAAGTGTGTATGTACAAATAAATGTGCATTAATGCATTAAAATTAGGTATAAAAATTGCCAAACATTTGACGAGAAATATATACATATGTATGTACATCATACATCATATTACATACATACATACATACATGTGTATAGCAAATACATTTGTCCAACATTTTTGGAAATTGAAGGCGAAACGTTTAACCCATAGCTCCTCTGTGTATGACTAAGCAGAGAAATATTTGTTCTTCTTTCCTTCTTTTGCATTAAAATCAAAATATCAGTCCCATGTTCATACGAGTACTCTAAAATCTGTATGTATGTTTTATATGTTTGTAAGAAGTTAAAACGAAGGTCGGATCACAATATTATCCATATTATCCGGAAGAGGAGCAGTGAGGTAAGGAAAAGAAGAAGGGTTTGAAGAGTTGCAATTTCATGAGGCCAAGGAACTTATTTAGTTACAATACTTTTTTTTATCTATTTTACCATGATACAGCTTCACATTATTTTCAGTTTGAAAGCATTAGCAGTAAATGTTTGATGGAAATTCCAAAATGTTCTCAAAGGAATAGAAAACTTCTTACTCGAAGTTGACCAATTTTTGAGCCGTACTTTGTAAAAATGAGCCAGAACTCCTTCCAAGAGGACTTAAAGCTGTCTGCTAAATGTCACAATACAACTTACTTCACTTCAGATTCAATATCATATTTCACTGTTTTGAAAGGGTGTGGTGAAGGAATCCGGGCCTTTAATTCTTTCGAATAAAATCTACACATACATATATAGTCATTTGATTTCAACACTAAGCCGCCATTTTAATTTGTATGTAAACGTTTTATTAAATGTGGCATATTACATATGTACACTCGTACATACATATGTAGGAATGCGACTGCATGCTAATAAATATTTACTCATGTACTCATGTACTCATGTACTCGTACATATACTTATTTTCTGATTAATTTCGAGTAAATAATTGAAATAAATTCTTATTTACGTAAAGGAATTAATATAAATCACTTTGTTTTGCAACAGTCTGCCTTCACCCTGCCCAATACAGTTCACTTCCAGCAGCGGAGGAATAAGGCGTTTATAAATACATACATACGTGTATGTGTATGTATGTATTGTATATGAGTTTATGTCTTCATAACTTAAGGCGAGTATTTAAATGAAATATAATGTATAATAATTATAATATTAATTTCATATAACTTTCTGCGTGCAGATGTATGTTGAGTATGCATGTACATATGAGAAACGTATACGAGTATGTATTTAAAGGCATTCGTTATTGTTGAACTTTGACAGGAAGTCGTCGAGCAAATAAGTCAAAAACAAAAGTAAGCATAATAAATGCATGTGTATGTTCATATGTTTATATGTAAATATGTACATAAATATATGTATTTACTCGTGCAGCGACAAATGCGACTGTAACAGTTTCTTTTGTTTTTCCAAGCCCAGAAAGAAACAAAAGGCAAATCAAACCAGGCCTGACTAAAGCCAGAACTGCTACAATTCTTTAAAAATACTTTATTTATGTCCATTGCTTTGATAAGACGAAACTTGTGTTTAATGTATTTACTTACTATGTATACTGAATTGCGTGTAT